TGAAGGGGATCAAAATCATGTTCAAAGATTCCGTTACAAAAATACATACTAACATACATACATCTGAAGCTAATAAAAGCGTATTAAAAATCAAATACATACGACGTTAGAACTTTAAATATATTTAAAGAAAAATGTACAAATATAACTACAAATAACATTAAAGTCTTCTTTACATACACTTACAATAAACAACGTACCTAGTAAATATATACATAAAACATCGATTGTCTTTTTATTACGCACACACAGAAACATTGAAGTGTGAGCGAAACGATTGAACAGCAAGTTCTCAACACAATCTACGGAAATATTACATTATATATATTATATTTTTCGAAATAAACTTCATAAACAACCACCAACACTACATTTCAACTGAACACCAATATAGGGGAACATCTATAACATGATATGGCAACACTATAACACCATCAACAAAACGTATAATCTGTACTGACAATTTTTAGCGAACTATCATTTGTTTCTATCATACATTCGTGGTCTTCAATATTTTTACTAAAAGTTTTTTCTTCTTCTAATATATTAAAGGTGTTTAAAAGTGACGATCAAAAATAAAGATACCATAAACACGTATTTCTTGGCAACACCGAATGAAAATCGGATTTCCATGACGCAAACGTATCAAATTGCAATCGGTTTTAGTGTGTATAAATATGCGACCATTTATTAAACTTTTTTTGAAATAATTAATTATTAATTGAACTAAATATGGCATGCGGCACACTAATCTCAACAAAAACTAAACTTACTTAAAAGTATCCCAATTTAAAAAAAAAAATACGGCCATGATCGGCTCGAAATATCACTCGTAGGTACTAGTCGCGCTTAGAGCAACTTCAGAGAGAAAGTTTATTTCAAAACAAATTAAGAGATATTAAGGAAAATTCACGGTTGTATTAGGCAAACGGATACCTAAAAAAAAAAACTAACAAATAGTATCAAGAGATCTTAATTAAATTAAACCAAATTGTTTTATCATTGTTTTTGTCAAGATATTACATGATTAAATGTGATCATTTTAACAAATTTTTTTTATGTCAAGCGTAATACTACCCAAAACTTGAATTATGAACTTGAGATTGGCTCCATCTCTTACCGTGTGGGTTGCCGACTGGGGAATCCACCTGAGCGGAGAGGAGCGGGTAGCAGCGTCCTTCGGTACTGTACCAGAGCTGCTGTTACTACCGCCCTACCCGTAACTGTTGCGAAGCAATCATGCGTTCTAGCGAACATGTGAGAAGCTATACTGGCTGAAGCTATATTGTAAGTATACTGAGACCTTAAAACTCATATCTCAAGGTGGGTGGCGGCATTTACGTTGTAGATGTCTATGGACACCGGTAATACCTTAATACTAGTGTGAACTGTGAAATAGTCCACACATTTACGTCCACAAAAAAAAACCCAAACGGATCTGCATCTACTCACATCTCGTCTTCGTCCTGAAGGCGTAGGTATCAGCAGCCTGCTTATGTCTGCAAAACAATCATAGAGGCTGAAGGGTCAAAGAGTAACTCTCGAAGGCTCTATGAACTGCGGTAACCACTCGATGCCGGAATCTAGGAAAGGATCTTCACGAATTAAGTCAGCTTTTTTATTTATTTCAATCAAACCTTGCTCTGTGAATATTATGCATCAGAGACGATTTCTCGGCATGCTATTAACAAAATAACAGAATAAAATATATGAACTAAAGTTAATATTAGCAATTATTTTAAATGACCTCAATAGTTAATTCAAAGTTTGTGTTTGTGTGTGTTGTTTGCACATTTATTTAATAATTTTAAATTTCGCTTTTAATCTCATAAATGTGTCTATAAAATCCAAATTATCAAACAAAAAACTGTCTATTGTTTGTCAGTAAGATCGCAATTTTCATTCCGTGTTCAGAGAAGTCTATTATAGTCGGTCAATTGCTATTCAAAACGATTTACAAATGAAACTCAAGTCTGTACAGAGGACTACAAAAGTGCTTGGATGGTACAGCTACAGAATTATATGAAACTAACGAAACAACAGTAAACCGTGATGATAATTAATGTACATGTTAACTTATTTGAAAGACAATATTTTAAGGAGATATACGGTAAAAGCTCCTTATTCGCGCTTCCTTCATTAGCTTTTTCAGTATACGCAGATTTAAAAAAATGCGCCCCAATTCCTATTTTTGCGGCTAAACATTTCCTTATTCGCAGATCTAATCGATACATACACATTGATAAAAAATATTTCATTATGTAGATAACCAATCGAATGTCCTTTGTAAACGCGTCATCCAATGGACTCATAAAAAAGTATAACAGAACTTATTACAATTATGACTAAAGTATGTTTTACTTTGCCACGTGGCAACTTATCCTCGTATAATATCTTCTTCTTTTTCTCCACCTTATCCCACTAGGCGGAGTCGGCACAGCGAATTTTTCTATTCCATTCTCTTCTATCAGCCGTCATCTCAACACTCACCCCTCTCTCTCATATCGGCATTCACACACTCCATCCATGTCCTCTTCGGTCGCCCTTATCCCCCTCTATCTACCTCGTACAATATTATATATGTAAATTACCATTTCATATTCACGGTTTCTATATTCGCGGCATATTTACGAAACATATACCCCACGAATAAAGAGCTTTTACTGTATATAATAATGTTTTATTTGAGATATCCATGCAAATTCTGTAGCCGACTGTACACAAGCACAAGGGTACCTGAACAATTAAAAGTAAGTATATACATATGTACAATTACTAAATATAAATAGACTAATGACAACGAAACGAGGGTTACTTTTGTGCGAGGGGTGACGATGACGTGTCATTTCGATGGAGATTTTACTTACAACTATTTAATTATTTTATTTACATTACGTATATGCATCAATTAAAATTTCGTCGTAAGATTATCTTGATCCGATAGTCTAATACGAACACTCGATACAATTCATTAAGTATTTTTGAAGTGAACACGAGTATCAAGCCATCATTATCCTGCCCTTCTCCCAGTCACCTGGGGGCGACAACATATTTTCTCCTTCCATACTCCTCTATCATATACCATTTCTTCGCTCACTCCCCTCTTACACATAACGTCTTTCACGCAATCCATTCATTTCTTCTTAGGTCTACCTCTTCCTCTGTATCCTTCCACATTCATAGTTAATACTTATAGTTAACATAGTGTTAACGTAGTTAACACTCTCTTACCAAAACGAGTATCAAGTGTATGAATAAAATTGCGAGCTAAAATGACATTCAAGTCCGGCCAAGTCATGGGAAAGGCGATTTACAACGAAGAAGACTTTTAATTTATCTCGATAATAGTATTTTCGAGACAAGACAATCTCCACCCGTTTCATTTTACATTGCATAAGCGATAGTAGAGCATTATAAATAACTGTAAATATATATACAACAATTTCTGTAAACATGGGCACGATATTTACAAAAAAAAGCGAAATTGCGTATTATTAGATACAGCACGCAATGTATATTAAACTAACTGTACCAGCTGATACGAGAGGTCAACGACCCTAAAGTCCCAAGACACGTTACATTGCGCGGCTTATTAAGCGATTATTTTTCAATCCGCTTACGGCCTTAACGATCCGCCTTCGCCATGAACACCCTTCATACAAAAGCAACATCGTTATCCTTAGTCTAAGTATTACGGTAATACATCCCCTTATCTATACATTCTGTTAAGGTAATTAGATTCAAATTATAATAATCAGTCAGTCTTTGAAGACATGCGAAGTTCCTTCCAGTTTATTTTTACATTTTTTTTTTTTTTTTTTAACCGATTCATTACAAATAATAATCGATTTTATTACGCAAAACTAGTCCTATGCAGTGTCAGTAAGCTCTGCGTCAACGCTTCGAATATAAACTTAGACATTCATAGAATTCGAATACTAAAAGCTCAGGATCGGAAACATAAAGTCGGATCTAGTATTTGCAAGAATCGCTTTTATACGTATTCGTATTATTATGTAGAATTGTATATCTTTATATCGAGGTCTCGACATCGATTTTTTAGTGCAATCGTTTAGAAAAAACCTTAGAAACAAAAAGTTCTTATGGCTTCTCGCGCGCCCTCTGTCGCTATTTGTTGTTTATTACCACAGAGGAACCTTCAAGAAGCGCCGACAAGTATACACAAACCTTCACCACGACATACATTTTTTTTATTTTTATATAGATTTGAAATCACGGATATCCGACGTTATGCTTCTAATGATGAGACTCACTATCGTCTATGCGACCTTGAATTACTCCGCGATACACATACTAGATACAATTTCCTTTGCAATATAAACACATTAGGCAAAAAAATCGTATAAAACTGAAACGATAAATCGATAAATTTTTTTTAAGTAACATCGATTTACATTTTCCAATCACTAAACAGAATCTATAACAAAGATTTGTTCGCGTCAGTTCAACACCAATCCACAACGTATGATGTCACAAGTGGTCAACCGTTGTGGATTGGTGTGCGATGATCATGCGTCGCACGTTTTGGCCCCAAATGACGTCACAGCTTAGTCGCATTCGGCCGGGATTTGTGAATTGCGTGAAGAATGAAGAGTTAAATTTTACGTAATTCAATAATACTGTTTAAAATAATTTAATTTAAATAGGAATATTAAAGGCTTTAAATGTTGTTTTCTTGGTATTTTACAGAAAACGTAACTGAGTACTTTATTATTGTTCAATCATTCTAGAGCATTCCATAACATTATATAGATTTCCAGATCTCTATTGTCGTACTTTAGAATAATGGAATTGTTTTTAATATTGCCTACTTTTAAAATTTACAAGTTTAGTATGAAATTTCATATACAGTTTGTAAATGTGACGCAAATGTAAAAAATATAAACTTATCGCTTAAAAAAAAAGAGGACGCGTAAGGTTTTTTTTTTAAGTACCACCTATCTTTTTAATATACAAACACTGGATTATAATTTACAATTTAACATTTACATACATCTTTGTATAAAAATGTATTTTGTATTAAAAAAATAGACTTTTACCCTTACGTTTTAAAGAATAAAGTCAGGAGATAATTATTAAGTTTATAGATAAATTTAACGAATTTAAAAAATACAACATATATTATTCTATAATACAATTACTGTGCATTACGCTATTTTTTTAAGTATGTTTAAATAAATAAATAAAAAACGGTGGTTTCATTTTAATTTTTTGTTTGCCATCCATCTAACGTCTAACGGTCCCTTGGCCAAACTGAATATGATTCTCCGCTTATAGACATAAGGTCGAAATCTCAATTGTCTCTCTGACAAAGGATTATGAAATTACCTCCCGCATTTATTTTATCTTTGATTCTCTATATGTACCTAACACCAATCTATATTTACAAGGATCGAAAGGAACTTCATTAGAACAAAAATATTAGCTTAGACACGTACACTTAACAACTAAAAAACGAATTGTACAATCGCGTACAAAAAATCGGACTAGATACATAGTTACAGTCGTGCTCAAAAGTGTTAAAAGTTTTATTCGAAGGCGTACCCGTATCGCGTATGGAACGATTCGAAACTATTTACTTCACTACAAACGTTTTCAGAGATGAAAATTCTGTTAAAAAACGAATATTATGTTTGATTTAACACTTTTGCACACGACTGTATAATTGTTATTTAAATATTGTATTTTTATTGCATATGTCTAACAATTCGGTGAGCTGAGCAAACTTCGTGTACGCCTCTTGGAGCATATTTCTGAAAATAATATTTGTTTTAAAGATATGTATTTTTAAAACACTAGATCAAACGTCTTTAAAAAGGACAGTGATCGTCAGCTGGGAGTCGAGGACAGACCGGAACAACAATCAGGATCATTGACCACTACACAAATAAAGCTAACATTTTTTATGTTTTTAATCAGTTTTAAACTTAACCATATCTATTTCGATGAGCGTGCTTCTTCGCTTGTGAACAGTGACGTCACTATTCACTTCAGCATGCAGAACGAAAATATAGCTTTGAGAGAACGAGTTCTATTTATTATTGTATTGTCGGGCGGTTCGCAGTAAATAATCATACCCGATCCTGTGGACCGAATGGTAAACAGTCGATGTCGCCCTAAACACGTCATTACTGATCCTCCCGATCCACTAACGGTGCTTTTAGGTACCTCAAGCACATCACTTGCAACGAAGGGCTCGACGAGTAAATTAACCCTCAGACACAGGCCACTGAGTTTCTCGCCGGATCTTCTCAGTGGGTCGCGTTTCCGATCCGGTGGTAGATTCTGCGAAGTACTGCTCTTGCTAGGGCCAGTGTTAGCAACACTCCAGTTTGAGCCCCGTGAGCTCACCTACTAATTGGGTGAATCTAGAATAACCCTACTCGTGTAGGAAGAAGGCGTTGCTTCATCGACGACTTCAGACCGCAGCTACCACCATGGGACAGTGGTTCCGGAAGTGGCGCATCGACATTAACCCCACGAAAAGCACAGCGGTGCTCTTCAAAAGGGGTCGCCCTCCGAACACCACGCTGAGCATCCCTCTCCCGATTAGGCGCGTCAACACCCCCGCCCCCGCCGTTCGCCCAATCACGATGTTCGACCAGCCCATACCGTGGGCCCCGAAGGTCAAATATTTAGGCGTCACCCTCGACAGTAGGATGACATTCCGCCCCCACATCAAGACGGTACGCGACCGTGCCGCCTTCATCCTAGGACGTCTCTACCCGATGATATGTAGGCGAAGTAAAATGTCCCTTAGAAATAAGGTGACACTCTACAAAACTTGCATACGCCCCGTCATGACCTATGCAAGTGTAGTGTTCGCTCACGCGGCCCGCATACACTTAAAATCCTTTCAAATTATTCAATCCCGTTTTTGCAGGATAGCCGNGGGTAGGTACCACCGCCCCGCCTATTTCTGCCGTGAAGCAGTAATGCGTTTCGGTTTTAAGGGTGGGGCAGCCGTTGTGACTATACTGAGACCTTAGAACTATATCTCAAGGTGTGTGGCGCATTTACGTTGTAGATGTCTATGGGCTCCAGTAACCACTTAACACCAGGTGGGCTGTGAGCTCGTCCACACATCTAAGCAATAAAAAAAAAAAAAAAAAATCAAACTCAAGCAGGCTTACAAAAATATCCTTTTCACAAAATTCCATTAACCGTTTCTGTCGAAAACTTTCATAAACAGTTATCTGCGTTAAGGGCAGAGTTCACATCCAACAAAAACACAGCCGAAGGCTTATCCCTTCGGTCGAGAACTTCCTACATCATACGCGAAACGCCTGTTTGATAAGCTATCATAACAAATTACAGGGAAAGGGAATATCTTTCGTGTTGTAAAGAGAGGTTTGTAAAATAGCAGTGTAGAGCCCCGGGGATGAACACGTGGCACATCCATCAAAACGAGACCCCGGCTTAATGTCCGCAGAATATCTAACATTTCGGTTCCCACTAGTGGACATACTCAGCGGAGGCTACGTAACGCAACAATGTGCCCGCCGTCAAATATGAAACTAAATTAATATAGTTCGGTCAAAANACACAGCCCACTGAGTTTCTCGCCGGATCTTCTCAGTGGGTCGCGTTTCCGATCCGGTGGTAGATTCTGCGAAGCACGACTCTTGCTAGGGTTCGTGTTAGCAACATCGTCAGGTTTGAGCCCCGTGAGCTCACCTACTAAAGTTAGGGTTACGCTGAAATAGCCGCTAGGGCTATCAGCTTAGGTAGGAAAAAAAAATAAAATAAATAAAATAGAATAACCCCTTAAGGTTACTAAGTAAATAATATTTTTTTTATTGCTTAGATGGGTAGACGAGCTCACAGCCTACCTGGTGTTAAGTGATTACTGGAGCCCATAGACATCTACATCGCAACTGCGCCACCCACCTTGAGATATGAGTTCTAAGGTCTCAAGTATAGTTACAACGGCTGCCCCACCCTTCAAACCGAAACGCATTACTGCTACACGGCAGAAATAGGCGAGGCGGTGGTACCTACCCGCGCGGAGTCACAAGAGGTCCTAACCTACCTATTCTGGAAGCTACCATTGGATCGATCAGTACCTGCACTTGATGCAGAAGACGGTGAGGTTCCCCTGGTTGACGACGGCCGGGTCCATCCCCGCCGAGGCGAGGCTCTCCTTGAAGGTGGTCTCGAGCCGGTACATGTGCTCGTCCAGGCTCGGGTCGTGGGCTTCTATGCTGAGTGCGCTGTTAACGAATTCAGAATCATCTATACTAATATTATAAAGCTGAAGAGTTTGTTTGTTTAATCAGTGTCAGGTACGCAAACATTCGTGTTATAGATAAACAGTTTTGTTTGCTCTTTGTCTAGGTCTGCTATAAGTACGTCAGTCTCTGGTACCTATGACGCAGGGAATCTTAAATTGTGGCTGGATGATTGTGCGTGATTTCTTTTTTCTTGACACACTTACCCTTCGATAGCATTCGTGAGTCCGCTGATGTGGCAGCTGATGATGGGCAGCTTGCTGGACAGGTTGTCGGGCCCGTCGTGCGGGAGACTGTCCTCCAGGCCGTGCACGATGCCCAGGTTGGTGGATAGCTTGGCACTGCAAGGAAGGCCCGATATGATCTCACTTCTTTTATACGTGATGTTAGGTTTACTGGTAGTAGGACCTCTTGTGAGTCCGCGCGAGTAGGTACCACCGCCCTTCCTATTTCTGCCGTGAAGCAGTAATAGGTAATAAAACCTACCCGTGCGGACTCACAAGAGGTCCTACCACCAGTAATTACGCAAATTATAATTTTGCGGGTTTGATCTTTAATACACGACGTTACTCCTTCATCGTGGAAGTCAATCGTGAACATTTGTTGAGTACGTATTTCATTAGAAAAATTGGTACCCGCCTGCGGGATTCGAACACCGGTGCATCGCTTCATACGAATGCGCCGGGCGTCTTATCTTTTAGGCCACGACGACTTTTGACATTACAAGACGTTACTACAAGATGTCATTTGTTTACGGTAAACATTATACGTGAATATAAAATATTTATTTCAATAATATAGGCGACGACGACTTTGAATATCAGGCTTTTATTTTAATTTCTCGTTCATATTATAATTTTGATCATACGGCTTATATTTTCCGAGTAATTCAATGGCATACCGGTATGGGACCCCATTGAATTGGTTAAAAATGGCTATGCGTGCAAACAACTTCTTTTCTTTCAACGAGAATTTATTTATTTATTTATATCTTTGAACGAGCAATTTTTGTATATTAATATATATAGATATAATCTGAATCTCGGAAACGGCTCCAACGATTTTCATAAAATTTAGTATACAGGGGATTTCGGGGGCGATAGATCGATCTAGCTACGATTTATTTTCAGAAAATGTTGTTTTATTCGTGTTTTCAATAATCAATTTTATCGATATTCAACTTTATAACTCTTCCCGACATCTATTGGCGAATAATAATACTATTTTTCATAATTAAGAGCAACTAACTGCTTTAAAGACACAATAACACTAAAGCTGTTTCAGCAGATGGCGTTGTTAAGCCACCCGATGCCAATGAGTGTTTGGTTTAAGGTTAGACCAAGAAAATGAATTGTTTATTTATTTATTACTAGCGACCCGCCCTCGCTTCGCTTCGGAAACATTAAAACACACATGAAACAAAAAAAAAAAAAAAATTTAAAAAGTAGCCTATGTTCATCAGGGACAATGTCGGCTTCTAATGGAAAAAGAATTTTTCAAATCGGTCCAGTAGTTTCGGAGCCTATTCGAAACAAACAAACAAACAAATCTTTCCTCTTTATAATATTAGTATAGATTTGTGTCTTTCTAACTCACGTGTTCACTTAAAAGTGCCTAAACGATCTTGGAATATTTCATCATTTTATCAATATGTAATTCGTATTTAAATGAATATAATTTCTAAAAAACACAATTTAAAAAAAAAGATAAATACTGAGCAAATGCCGGTCATTATTTAGTGTTCTATATAAGTAAGTATAGTCGTGAGTAGGAGCTCAGCGCGCACCAGTAGCTGGAGAACACGGTCCAGAGCCCCTCGAAGGCCTCGATGACGGGCACCTCCTCGTCGGAGTCGCGGGCGTCGCGCGACAGCCGCTCCACCGTGATCTTGGCCAGCTCCATGTACTCCGGGATTATCTGACACTTCTTGGCGAGGTCCAGGGACAGCTCCTTGAAGTTCGACACATCCGACTGCGAGATCGTGGTCGGGTCTGCGAAACAATAACCAGGTTGCTACTAATTAAGGAACAAATTATGTTTCCGTGGCTGATGGACACCAACAACGTTAGTGGCACGGCCGAGCCACTACCGACTGTTGAGGATTCATAGATCACATGTCTTTGAACAGTTAATAAAAGTCACAGACAAATCTCACTGTCGTATGTATCCGCAGCGAATCAGATTGTGGCGTCAGCAGATACTATGACGTCATAGTCGTGATCCTTTGCATTAAACGTTACTAACGGACGATCGTCAATTTTTCTATATGAAAAATTATTATCTGTATGAAAAATTATTATTTATATGAAAAATTATATATTATTATAATTATTGAAGTTAGTCCTTGCTACCAAAGCCATATTTAGAGCCATAGTACTCGACGTTTGAGTCAGGTAATGTTTTATTATACGATGGCTGCACGGGTCCATTTTAACACGTGCATTCTTCTCCTATTCGAATCGATTTGTATTAATGATCGTAAGCGGCACGTGTCGGCGCAGTTACCTTTGCTCTGCACCGAGGTGAGTGCGTTCTTGAGGTCGAGGATGAGGTGCTGTATCCTGGGGAAGACGTCGTTGAAGACGGCCACCCAGTGCTTGAGCAGGCACTGCAGCACGTCGCGCAGCGTCCAGGGCGGCGCCTTCAGCAGCACGTGCTGCCACAGGTTGTTGTACTTGGCGCGCATCTCGTTCTGCAAGGATATAATAAAAAAAAAATAAGGCATAGTTTTTCAAGTACAAATAGTTTTGACATAAAGTTGGCCCACTTTTGGGCATTGTCCTTTGGTAGTGTGTGCTATTAATTTGGATAATGTGGACGAGTTCACAGCCCACCTGGTGTTAAATGGTTACAGGAGCTCATAGACATCTACAATGCAAATACCGCCACCTATCTCGAGACATGAGTTTTAAGGTCTCAGTATAGTTACAACGGCTGCCCCACCCTTCAAACCGAAACGCATTACTGCTTTACGGCAGAAATAGGCAGGGCGGTGGTAACTACCCGTGCGGACTCACAACAGGTCCTACCACCAATAAAAAAGTGTACGTTGAGTGCGGGCGTGTACGCGCGTGTGTGCGTGCATGCGCGTGTGTGTAGACAGCAGCTGACCTCCAATATATTGGACAGTAGCTGGTACACAGCATTCTCGTAGTACTTGAGTCCGGTGATCAGGTCCGGGTCGTGACTGGCCGGCGGCTTGTTCTCCAGCAGCTTCCTCAACCCGGACAGGCTGTAGAATTTCACGCCGTTTATGACCGCCTTGTTGCAGAGATTCTTGTCGTTCGACAGGAGGGCCTGGAGGACATTTAAAAACAACTGAAAAATATAAATAACATAAGGACGGATTTATTTCGTGCAATAAATGTGAACATTAATTTTCTATCGGATCTATTTTTACAATAATCTTAGTTTAAAAAGTGTCGTGTCTATGTTATAAATTAGAACGTTAAAGTAAGAGTTATGATGTATTTCGCAGTGCGTTTTGCGTCGTATTTATAATAATGTAATAATTGAAATAATAATTAAAACCTTAGAACTCATATCTCAAGTTAAGTAGCGAGATTTACGTTAGGCAACGTCTTGGCTCTGCCCCTGGCATTGCTGAAGTCCATGGGCAACGGTAACCACTCACCATCAGTTGGGCCGTATGCTCGTCTGCCTACAAAGGGCAAAAAATATATATATGTATATATATAGATGTCTATGGACTCCGGTAACTACTTAACACCAGGTGGGCTGTAAGCTCGTCCACCCATCCATGCATAATTTTTTTTTAAATGTCTGGGGTCATCTTTGGACGAAGTTCGCAGACTCGAGCTGACGATGGAGAGAACTGTAGGGCGCGGAATCCCCAGCGTGTTACGACGCGCGTTCCGGCTCCAAGAATAGGCCAAACTTCGTATCAAGGGGTGAAAGGCTATTTGGTTTAAGCGTCACGTTTGCAACATTACATCAGAGCTATTTAAAGTTTATAATTTAGAAAAAAATATCGTAACAAAAAAATTCTTCAGCTATTTTAATGGAGTAAACTTAATTGAAGTTCAATTAAAAATACCGAATTGTTGATGCTAATGCCAAATAAAACGGACCATTAATAACAAATAGGCGCACGACTGTGCGAAACCAATGAAGCGACTCCTATTTTTACGAATTTTCATGTTTAAATGTATTTTTTTATTTATTATTTGTTAATTTTGACTTATTGTTTACGTCAAGTAAATCTTGGGGGACTTGTACTATAAATTCATTATATGTTTTTTTATTGAAAAGGCATATATTGCACATATTGTACCTACTTACTTATCGATACTCCTCTACAAAGAGTTAGTTGTGGTGTAAGTGTAACATGAATAATTTCGGTGGAGGCGCCCTTAGGGGTGGCGCGGCCCTGATTACAAAGAGAAATGTCACTTAAACTAAATAGCCTTTCACCCTTCGATATTAGCCACAGAGTCTCCACTAGACTGAGTGTTGTAGACATAGCAAAAAGCTAGTTTTACCACATCCTTGCTCCGCTCAGCTTGTTGGAGGCAGCAGTTCAGTATCTCGTCATCTGGCAGTTCGCACGGATATATATGAGAATTGGCATCGCGTAATGATTGACCTGTAAGAAAAATCATTTTATTTTTTTTGTATAAAAAAATTATAAGTAGATCTTAATATAATGCATTCCAATTAAATTGAACACAGCTTGGATGGATGGAAGGAGCATAATTGAATGGCGACATTATAATGTCTATGGACTCTCGTATTTACTAACAGCAGATCAACCATGAGGCTAATCCACTTTTTTTCACAATCCGCTTTTTAAAATATTCAGCATTTTAATTTCGTATTAAATAATGGTAAAAGTATTTGAATAATTTACAATGTTTTTTTTTTTTTATTGCGTAGATGGATGGACGAGCTCACAGCCCACCTGATGTTAAGTGGTTACTGGAGCCCATAGACATCTACAACGTAGACGCGCCACCCAAACATATCTAGCTCATAGTGGCTATTATACAGCTTACATAATCTGGTACTAAGATAGTTATCAAGTTCTAACCAAAACTATTAATTTCAACTGGCACGAGAAAGATATTTAGGGAAATAAATTTCCAAAGAACTGCCTGTTTGTTGTATTATTATATGTAATTAAAATGTATTTTTTTCATGACAAAAGATACTTTGCCTAGCACTAAGTTCAATAAAAGACAATCCAGAGAAGTATTCGTTGTTTTTATTTCGATTAGTCATATTAGGAAAAATGAATGGTGATAGGACATGTTATGAGACCAATGCAACGAAGCCCCTTGTTAACTTAGTTAGAAGCAATTTGATGCCTTTGTTAGAAGCAATCTGATGCCTTTGTTAGAAGCAATCTGATGCTCGCAAAGCTACTGGGGAGCAAAACAAACAGCTCTGCAGTCCATCTTGAAGCACAAAGATACAAGAGGTTGAGACAAGTTCAAAACTTTTACCTTTTATCCTATTATTTTCAGGTAAACATTTGTATAAGTAATCCATGGCTGATTTGGCTCGTTTACACACCGCACCATTGCCATTGTTATTGTCCTTTAGCCTGTCCAGTTCATTTATCACCCTCCACGGTACTAACAAAGTTGGCTGCTCACTGTAACCTGCAATTAAATACAATTAACTTCTCTTTGATTTGACATATTAGAAATATTTCATACAAGCGGCCCCCTCTGGCTCTTTAACAAAAAGCTCAACGATATTTGATGTTGTTTTCTTTTTCTAAATAAAAGAACACTTATTGTGGCATAACTATAATAGTTAAGACATATGCTGTGACACTTTTTGGAAATAATAATGTGTTCTACAAAGTCGTAGTACATTATTTTATTCTATCATCAATAGTTTTCGCAGGGCACGCGATGTAAAGAATATTTTAGGTAATTTTTTTACACCTTGGGTTACATTATTGGAGTTTTAGTAAGGATACCTAATTTTTTTTCAAAAAAAATTATAGCCTATGTCCCTCAGAAATAATGTAGCTTCCAAACAGTGAAAGAATTTTTCAAATCGGTTCAGTAGTTTCGGAGCCTATTCAATACCAACAAACAAACAAATCTTTCCTCTTTATAATATTAGTATAGAAGTATAGATTGGCATATTATATTATAAAATAATTTCGAGATGTTATATTACAGGATAAGACGCCCAGTCTGTTCAAGAGTTCAAGTCATGCGATGTGATTATTCCAACGCTCTCATACCACAGGCATGTTGTTCCTAAGAAAAGACATTTAACACATGTTCAGAGACTGTTGCTTATTGCTGCCAGGAAACCGACAAGTAGTCTAGTATGAAGGGTAGGACAGCTATTGGTTAATATAATTAGGACTTTTGTCAGATTTCTCAAGGTGCACAATGCAGTGTGCCTAGGCTCTCATACAGATTACATACACTATGATTTAATGGATTCTTAATACAATTTTTACATTTCACGAGCATCTGATATCTCAGCGCTGTTGCAAGTACAAAGACGATGAGTATTCTTATATAGATGTCAAACACATACTCCCACACAGTATTGCAAACTGAGAGGTTTTATTACTTTTATTTCAAATTATGTACTCAATTAATAATCACAATTTAGCAGCTTTTAATTCTTACCTTTTACGTGTGAATTCAACACATCCTTAATGAAATCTAGCTCATGTATGAATATATTGGTATCGACAACTAATACTAAATTCTCCTTCAGATCACTTGTATCCTCATGTAAACTTGATACTGGTGAAATGGTGTTTGATCTTGGCTGAAAATATTATTTTAATAATTTTTATTGAGACTTCATAGCAGGGTAAGGACTCTTAATCATGAGATATATTTGTAATTTATCCAAAAGCTACCATGCCATCTTGTGTATTTTGTAGATTTATAATTTAATTTTCTAATATAATTTTTAAAAACACTACAAAAGTATTAAATACAGTTAGTCATAGCAATATTTGGAATCCAGGCATTTTTTTATTGCCTTAGTAAACAGACTAGCATACAGCCCAATTGATGGTGAGTAGTTACCGTCGCTCATGGCTCATGGACGTAAGCAATGCCAGGGGCAGAGCCAAGCCGCTGACTAAAATCACACACAGCAATACATAATGCAAATAAAAAAGGTTGAAATGTCCTTAATAATAATATTATTTACGATGACGCAATGCAATTATCTAATTAACAATCTAGTTTATTATGTTACTGGTGCAAACTTGAAATTTCTGATCTCAGAAAGTGCATTTATTTATTTATTTATATTCCCCTTTTTTTGCAACACGTATAGTTCCACTATTGATAAACAACCGCCCCCACCAATATTGATCACACCGTCTTCCTTATTTTAAGGTGTTGTTGGAGTATATTAATAGTTTTTTTTTATTGGTTAGCAGGATGGACGAGCATTCAGCCCACCTGGTGTTAAGTGGTTACTGGAGCCCATAGACATCTACAACGTAAATGCGCCACCCACCTTGAGATATAAGTTTTATGATCTCAGTACAGTTACAACAGCTGCCCTTCAAACCGAAACGCATCACTGCTTCACGGCAGAAATAGGCACCCTGGTACCTACCCACACGGTCTCACAAGAGGTCCTACCACCAGTTATGATGCAGTTATGGTGCAGCAAAAATGTTAGAAACAAAAGATCAAAATTTAAAATTAGTTGTAAATTCACTATTCCATCTTTCAAACCAAAACACACATTTCCTTTTTGCTTGCAGTAGAAATACAGAAAATTTAGTTACCTACCCAGGTGAGTTTTGATTAAGTGCTACCACCATTATACTAGGTTTAGCAGTTTCAAAATGCCCACATTCAATTATAGTATTTTTGAATACTGTATTCAAATCATTTTTGAATACAGTTAAAATTAAAGCTTAAAAGTAACATAGAATTGTCTGAAATTGTTATGAAACTAGTCAAACTAAACTATAAGTTTTACATGCTAAATTGTAAAATGATTAATAGTTTAATCAGATTAAAGATTTATAGTCATGGTGAACATCTATTTTTTCTAGCTCAATTTGAAGTCTAAAATTTTATATAATATGTATATAGCATATTCTAGCAAACAAAAAGCTCCAATTTCATATACTATGTATCTTTTAAAGAAAATGGTTTTGAGATAAATCATCAACAACAAAAGTGAAGAAACATATTCATTACAATTCATGTAAGAATACATTAGAATACTAAATTGTATAAATTTAAATATACAAACCTCTTTTATCTCACTCTTCAAATCAACGTCCATAGCTTCATTACAGGCAAAATCTTCCTTACTTTCCGGAATGTTGATGCTATATTCTGCATTAGTTGCATCATTGCTCAACCTTGTACGTAGAGCATCTAAGCGATCTTGTGCCGATGAATATGTAATCAAGTCACAATCAACACCAGAACTTTTATATGTCAACTTAGATTTTATAGCTGAAACCAGTTTGCTGGCTTCTGAAAATTGTGGTGGAGTAGCTGGATGTTTCATATATGGATACTCTGTAACTTGATTATATATTCCTTGTTCAATATCAGCAAACATATCCTTTTGCTTCACTTTATCACAATATTCTTCAGGTAACTGAGCTTTCATGGATGAAATAATCTTATTTGCTGCAAAAAACTGTGATGGTGATGGTATTGATGGTAGGCTCTCACTGCTGGGAGACTGTGTTGAACTCTTTACATCACTAGAACTAGGACTTTTCTCCGTTCTACTGTTACGTGAAGTTTCAGTGTCTGTGGACATTTTGCGTTTTTTTACTGTAGAATCTTTATTTTCCTCTTTTTGTGCTTCTGAAGAAAGTTGGGCCCTTAATTGTGTGAGTCTTGTGTTAGCTAAATTCTTAGCTGGGGTGCGTCTGTCAGGGCTGTCTGTTCTAGAGACTGACTCTCTTTGGCTGCTGCTGTGTCTGTATGATTCTTGTGCTCTCCCCGGGATATCTTTTTGAGTTTGCTCTTGACTTGTGCTCTGTCTCTTTGTTTCTACATTTTTAAGAGATATTTCATTAAGACTGGGCCAACACTTCCCTGGAGAAGATTTAGCTAAAAAGATTTTAACTGTCAAAAAGGTGATTATGTGAAGGAGTACAATGTTAGGGTAGGTTCAATAAAACAACAATTTCTGGTTACCAACAAAACCATTAGCTTTGCAAACTCATCCTTACTTTTCTACGTTTAGGTTGAAACCTATTTTGATTACGTAAATTATATAGAACGAAAAACATTGTTTGAGAAGTATTTTTTATATTTAATACATAATAAAGACTAGACTGAAAAGTACCTTCTTTCTGCTTTCGAATTGGGGAGTTTTGTTCAGAGCCATCATTTTTACGCTTTAAACTCTTCTTTTCCTCTTCTTTACTTTTCATATCCCTTTGATTATCTTTTTCTTTTTTACTTTTATCTTTACTCTCGTCCAACTACGAATGGTAGGTAAAGCAATATTAAACGTAAACATATTTGTAAAAACGTTTCCTGTAATGAATTTTACTGAGGCGTTGACCGTAGTAACAGCGATGAAATCTGTAAATATAGAGAAAAAATACCTGTGGTTGCGTCCAGGAAGACTTTCCCGTTCTTTTATTGAAATAGTACTTCCTTCCAGGACTTGATTTGGAAGTGCAAAGTACCCAGCCATCAGGAAGTTGAGATGTTTCATTGCAACTCGAACTCATGGCAGATACTTTGTTAAATTTGTTATTATTTTGAATATTCCTGATTAACACATCACGAATAATGTTTAATGTATTTCTTGACAAATCAATTTGTATTGCGTAGTGCTGCACTTCGATTATTTAATGGTTTCGTCATAGTTTGAGTTAAAATCGATTTTATGTGCACATTCTTCTAATTTCTGACAACGGAAAACTCATCATTTAATTTTCATGCAAGTAAATAATATTTATAGCGATAAAAAAAATGGATAAAGTGATATTTTACATCCCCATTGATCGATTGTGCATGTGAAATCATTGGAACACATTAAATTGAATTGTGAGGAATTGATTACTCTGGTAACAATTTAATGACATGATTTTGGAATTTTTTAGCGGGAACACCAAAAAATTACTGAAGGATTTACTATTATATTCTCAATTTAATGTTTCTTCTTAAATTTAGATATGTAATAAAAAAAATACTAGACCAATATCAACCGTTTAGTATCTACATAGGTCACATCTACACAAATTGCGGGAAAATGAAGCTGCACTTGACTTCTCAGGTTCTTTTTATGATTCATCAAAATTTTATAATTTTACTCGGTGATTATTTTATTTTATCCCATCTTGCACCTACGTTGTTGACCTATGTCACCGGATTCATATTGTTTCATTTTATTCCTCTCAATTTCATTTCCATGCTATTTCACTTTTTATACAACAAAAATTTCGCTTTGGCAGAGCGACCAGGATTTGACTGTATGAGCTACTTTTCCTTTACCTGTCATTGACTTTTTTTTTAGGAATTTTAATGGCATAAACTTTTTTTTTTTAAGAGATTTTATGACCTGGTAACTAAGACCTTTAAGTCATGTCTTATTTTACTTTATATTCTTAATTTTATGAAAAATGATAATATGGAGTGGAATGAAATGAAGATGATTAATGAGACATTAAGCAACTGGGATGAAATTTAATGAAATGAAATGATATGGGATGAAATATAATCGCAGTAAAATGGTGGTCATTTACTGAGATTTTTTCAGTGGACTTTTTGAAGGAACCCGAGAAGTTACGTCCAGCAGCTTTGTTTCATTTTCCCACATTTGTGCACTTTCACAGATATTAAACAGTTAATAAACCACCATTATTACACATTTAAACCTGAAGAGACACTAAATAGACAAAATAAAACAAATCACACAACTTCACTCCTCGCGTTCCCGCCAAAAAGTCCTAATGGCATAAAAAGACTTTCGAGTCATAGATTATGAAAAAAAAAAATAGTGAAATAGCATTTAATCAATTGGGATGAAATAAAAGGAAACAAGATGAAATAGAATAAATTTTACGAGACTTTTTAGTTTTTGAGTTGACTTTTTCAGCACAGCAGCTTTGTTCATTTTACCACATTTGTGTGCTTTCACAGATGGGATGGTAATTACATTGAAGCCTGAAGAACAGCAAAATTAACAAAATAAAACAATTCACCAACTTCGTTCCTATGTGAATAGACGAAATAAACAAAACAAAACAATAAATTTTAAACAGCTCAACAAGGACATGGCCAGAAGCCGATTGCCATTCTGAAAAAAAAAGTAGAATTATACAGCTGATCTGTAAGTTCTATAACCTTAAATGTTTATGTTTATAGTTTGATTTATTCGATTTAATGCAAAAAAATGGAAAGAATAGCGAAGTTTGCCAAAACAATACGAAACAATTGGAAGAAATCAGTCCTTGGTGCAGTCGCTATATACTACGCTAGTGCGACTGCAAAAGAAAAATATGAGTGCGTAAAATTTCAAATTAAAAACTAAATTTTGTAACTGAGTTACTAATTCACAAAAAAAGTTTTCATCTCTTCACCATGGCAGTCATACGAACCAAACTGATGTTATGCAGCTACCGTACCTACTCACTACAAGCATTTCCAGAACCACAGCTTATGTGCTATCTACTACTAAAGATTTGACCAACACTTTAACTGTCCAGCCAAGTTAATCGCCCCTTTATCACCTGTGCGCCTACCACTTAAGTTTAAAAAATCTAGTTTATGTATTGTCAACAGAATTAATATACTTATGCGAGCAGCATGTAAAGAGGCTGCAATTTACGGCGAAGCTCTCCTGCCCATCGAAAGAAACCCCACAGTCATAACAGTTATTCTCAACCCTGTAGCCAACAAGAGGAAAGCAAAACAAGAATTTGAGAAATATTGTGAACCATTGCTATTATTAGGTGGTTTACAGGTATAATCTTCTATCTTCTATATCTATTCTATATATATATATATATATATAAATGAATTGCTGTTCGTTAGTCTCGCTAAAATAGAGAACGACTGGACCGATTTGGCTAATTTTGGTCTTAAATTATTTGTGGAAATCCAGAGAAGGTTTAAAAGGTAGATAAATATGAAAATACTCAAAATTGAATAAAAATAGCACTTTTTTCCTTTGATATGTCCCCCCTGTTGGATGGATTCCATTTGTTTGTTCTAAGTTTATTTTATACAAAAGCTTAGGTATTTTATTTATCGATTGAGGCACTAAAAAGTGCTAGGTCAACTAGTTTTCAATAAATTGTTTATACATTTGATCTGTCATTAGACAAATGTCTTGCAATGGGGTTTGAATTATGTTGTATACATAGTTCAAACATGCATTAATGAAAATTTAACAGAATTAATTTATATTGAGGGGTAAAAGGCTATTTCATTAGCTTTATTTACAAAGATAAATGTCACATATTAAGCAATATGTCTCTTAATCTAAATGATATGATCCAGACCTGATATGATCCAGTTACAGGCATATTAAATTAGTGCTGGTCTACTGTATAAAGAATTTGCATTTTATGTTACATATATTTGATAAAAATCTGAAATAAAATGTAAAGATTTCGCTTCTTTAATCTAGATCAATATTTTCATCTAATTCAAATCAATATATTTACAGCCCATAGCTTTAATTGCTCTATGGATGGATGAGCTCACGGACCACCTGGTGTTAAGTGGCTAACGAAGCCTATACACATCTACAATGTAAATCTAGCTACCTACCTTGAGATATGCGTTCTAAAGTCTTCATTTTTACAGTACAATGACTGCCCCCCCCCTTCAAATCAAAGTGCATTACTGCTTCTCAGCAAAAATAGGCAGAGTGGTGGTACCTACCCACGCAGACTTACTAGATGTCTTACCACAAGTAGAAATAGTTGGATGGATTCAATTCATGAATACCATTCTCCTTGACAAATGACCCATGTGCTTAGCACAACTATACAATAATCACAAACTTTTCAGGTAGATGTTGTGCAAACAGCTTCAGAAGGAAACGCGAAAGAAATTGTAGAAACATTAAGGGGTACTGAAGCTATTATCGTTGCAGGAGGAGATGGTACTTTGTCTGAGACTGTGACTGGTAAGAATCTGTTTGTTATTACACATGAAAGTTCAATCTGAATATTTTTATTTGTTATTTCCTACAAATGCTAAATATGGAGCTATTATATATGTGCATTATTCACTATACATTGCTTTAGAATACTCTGTAAATGGAGGCCAAAGTGGGGACTATTATGATTTAAAATTTGATTGAATAATTAGATCATTTTTCTGAATAAATTGTATACTAAAAACAATTATATGTTCATAATATCTTAAATACTACATATACATATCATACGTACATTTATATATGGTACATATATCATCTATTTCAGGATTGTTAAGACGAAATGATCAAGCAAACATGTTTCCAGTAGGAGTATTGCCACTTGGACGCACAAACTCAATCGGTAACACTTTATTTCCAAACGGTAAGGGTGTACAAAAAGTTAAGCAGTTGATCACCGCCTCAATGGCAATCATCAAAGGAAACACAGTATGGAAAGATGCCATGAAAATAGAACAAGTTACTGACGAGTCTGAAACTCCTAATCGTCCGATTTACGCTATGGCATCAATGGAGTGGGGAGCTTTTAGAGACACCCTAGCAAAGAAGGATAAGTACTGGTTCTATGGTCCTTTAAGAGAGTATGCTGCCTACATCTTCAATGGTTACAAGAGTTCATTAAACTGGAATTGCAGCGGTACCATCAAATATACTCCTCCGTGTGTCGGGTGTGCCAACTGTACAGCTAAAAGGCCGGAAGTAAAACGAAAATGGTTCTTTGTTTCGTCCACGGAAGCGGCTGGGCAACTTGACCAAACGAAGATTCTAAATCCAGAGTGCCTGACATCGAAAGAACTGTGCTTTCGAACTTGCGATTTCAAAATTAAAACACAGAATGTTGCAATGAACCATCAGATACCAGCCTTGAGTATATTTCTGGGCAGAAACAGTTACTCATACACCGACTTTGTGTCTGAAGGTTGGCGCAGAATAAAGACAAACTCGGATCCAGAACCAATTTTTGCACGTACCATCGAGATCACACCTAAAGAAACGGATAGAGATACAGTTATAGAAATCGACAAGGAGGATTTTGATATGAAACCAATTAAAATAACGTTAATGCCAAAAGTTATTAAATTGTTCTGTCAATAAATAATTGTTAAATGTTCATGATGCTTTTTAATGTAACACAGTCATTTTATGAAATCTTCAAACATTAGACGGTTGCAGTATAAAGTGTACCGAAATACTTAGGCACTATAGATTTTAATTTATTTTTATCTCGCAAAAATCTTGCAAAAATTATCTCAATTAACAGTCAAACATGTAAGATTAGAGTATATCGCTAATGATGAAAATTCAAAAGTTCCAAAAACCAATCAACAAACAATTTGATTCTTGGACAAATCTAATTTTAATTGATATTGGGAACTCCTTTCAAGCGTTAACTTCGCAACCACCATAATGTTTGTTCTTTTTTTTCCTACATATTCGCTGGTAACCTAAGAGGATATTCCAACTATAACGCATGGACGGGTAGGTGAGCTCACGGGGCCCAACCTGAGAAAATTGCTAACACTGGCCCTAGCAAGAGCAGTGCTTCACGGAATGTACCACCGGATCGGAAACGCGACCCACTGAGAAGATCCGGCCAGAAACTCGTGGGCTGTGTTGGGTTAATTTTTATCACCAAAAAAGACTAAAACATACATTCAAAAGAAAAGCAAAGGGCAACCCAGGCGCTTAGTAACAGAAATCGACGTAATTACTTCAGCGCCCGCGTAGGGCACCTGTGACCTACATGGCAGTCAAAGGGTAAAGCCATACAGGGCTGAAATAACCCTCAAACACAGCCCACTGAGTTTCTCGCCGGATCTTCTCAGTGGGTCGCGTTTTCGATCCGGTGATAGATTCTGCGAAGCACTGCTCTTGCTAGGGTCAGTGTTAGCAGCGTCGTCAGGTTTGAGCCCCATGAGCTCACCTACTAGTTAAGGTTACGCTGATATAGCCTCTCAAGGCTCTCAGATTAGGTAGGAAAAAAAAAGCTGAAACACCGAAAACAATATATATACAATCGTTTATTTCGTATTGCACTGTTGAGGTCACAAGACGTTCTGCCTGGTGTACTCCCAGACGAATATGGCGGCGGCGACGTGCACGTTGAGCGAGCGCACGACGCCGCGCTGCGGGATCTCCACGCAGTGGTCCATGAGCGGCAGCAGGTCGCACGGCACGCCTTCCTTCTCGTGTCTAAAGTATTCATGTCACGCACATTATTCTGTGCCCAGCTCTTACTACTACTCATATTGGACTTTTTGGCGGGAACGCGCGCGAGAAGCGAAGTTGTGTGGTTCACTGTGGCGTAGCGTCTATGACAGCCGCCCGGGGCGGAAGACAATTTTGCCGCCATTTTTTTAGATATTTCACCTTGATATACATTACATACGTACATTACATACATTACATACATACATACTATACATTAATTTTAGAATTTTTGTTTGGCAAGAGCAGTCATCGTTATTTTGCATTATATCTACAGGTAAGATTTTAAATAAAAAAGTTTGCTCACTCACAGACGGTGTTGCCTGTTCAATCGGTCCAAATTTGTAGTTGCGATAAAAATATGAAATGCTTCAAATATGTTTTTTTATTTATTGTGAAATTTTGCCGCCCCCTAAAAAATGCCGCCCGGGGCGCCTCCACCCACCTTGAGATATGAGTCCTAAGGTTTCAGTATAGTTACAACGGCTGCCCCACCCTTCAAACCGAAACGCATTACTGCTTCACGGCAGAAATAGGCAGGGTGGTGGTACCTACCCGTACCGACTCACAAGACGTCCTACCACTAGTAATTACACAAATTATAATTTTGCAGGTTTGATTTTTATTACATCATGTTATTCCTTCACCGTGAAAGTCAATCGTGAACATTTGGTAAGTACGTATTATAACATTGACTTTGAACTTACAGACCAGACCTACGCTCAATATTCACGTTTCTAATATAGCGAAGTCGAATTCCTCACCCGAGTAATAAAACAGTTTTCTTTGGAAATTTAAAGCTTTCCAGTTTGATGCTGGTCGACGTTTGCTCGGCTGCCACCACAGAGTAGCCTTCCGACTTCTTGTTCGCCAGAAACTCTTTCAGAGGCTGACCGGGTCTCACTTCCTCAACGTCTATCCATCGCTCGGCTGACACACTGCGACACAGCGAAACCAATTTCAAAAAATACTTTTATTTTTATTGCTTAGATGAGTGGACGAGCTCACAGCCCACCTGATGTTAAGTGGTTACTGGAGCCCATAGACAACTACAACGTAAATGCGCCACCCACCTTGAGATATAAGTTCTAAGGTCTCAGTATAGTTACAACGGCTGCCCGCCCTTCAAACCGAAACGCATTACTGCTTCACCACAGAAATAGGCAGGGTGGTGGTATTTACCCGTGTGAACTCACAAGAGGCCCTATCACCAGTAAAAGTATGCCATCAGTATGCGCCTTTTCGGGGTATTTATCGAAAAATAAATAAATTATTACGTACCAAAAATATTTATTTTCTAATTAAAGCTACTTTTAAAACTAAAAAATACGGACTACGTATTATTCGTTTTGCTATCTTATATTCAATTTTTTTTTTTTTCTCAATTTTAGACATTTCAGTCTACATCCTGCTAATATTATAAATGCGAAAGTTTGTAAGAATGTATGGATGTATGTTTGTTAGTCTTTGATTATGATGAAGCTTTACAATAATATAGTTGACACAGCAGCATATGTTATAATTATATTTAGGCTATAATTTATACAGATATAGTGTGAATTACGCAAAATATAACGATAATTGTCAAGTAAGTAGGAAAAAAATCTGCCATCTTATATTCATAAACAATAATGAATTACAGATCCCGAAGCTATTCGAGGTCGCTGGTAGCATTTAATTCATTATATTAATAACTAGCGACCCGCCCTCGCTTCGCTTCGGAAACATTAAATGTGTTAATGTTTCCGAAAATTAAACATGTTATCCGCGGGTGACGCCGCGGGGCGAAGCTAATCTAAAAAAAAGTAGCCTAAGTTATTCCTTATATCATCAGCTACCTGTCAGTGAAAGTCTCGTCAAAATCGGTCCAGCCGTTCCAGAGATTAGCCGGAATAAACAGACAAAAATAAAAATAAAATATTTTGGTATATGTACTGTGGTATACATCCTTACGTATTTACTAAAAAGTGATTATTATATTATTACAAACAGACACTCCAATTTTTATTTATTTGTATAGACGTGGTTGGTGACGTCACAGCTAGGAAGTTACCTCAATCCCTGGAATTGCTTGTCCTGGAGGTGCCGCAGACTGCCCACCACGTAGCTCCTCACCCCGAACACCTCGCTGGTCCGGGCCATGCCGCCCAAGTTCGGCAATTTATCTACTAAAGAAGCTACCACTATCAAGTCTCCGTTGATCTCTTTCTGTAAAGAAAAAATACAAATACAGTAAAAGCTGCATTTTTTATTGCTTAAATGGGTGGTCGAGCTCACAGTCCACCTGGTGTTAAGTGGTTACTGGAGCCCAAAGACATCTACAACGTAAATGCGCAACTCACCTGAGATGTAAGTTCTAAGGTCTCAATATCAACTCAACTCAACAACGGCTGCCTCACCCTTCAAGCCGAAACGCATTACTACTTCACGGCAAAAATAGGCAGGGCGATGGTACCTACCCGTGCGGACTCACAAGAGGTCCTACCATCAGTGATTACCCAAATTATAATTTTGCGGTTTTGATTTTTATTACACGATGTTATTCCTTCACTGTGGAAGTCGATCGTGAACATTTGTGAAGTACGTATTTCATTAGAAAAATTGGTACCCGCCTGCGGGATTCGAACACCGGTACATCGCTATATACGAATGCACCGGACGTCTTATCCTTTAGGCCACGACGACTTCTCCTTATTCGTAATTTTCATTCCGTGTTCAGAGAAGTCTATTATAGTCGATCAATTGCTATTCAAAACTATTCACAAATGAAACTCAAGTCTGTACAGAGGACTACAAAAGTGCTTGGATGGTACAGTTAAAGAATTATATGAAACTAACGCCATCTGTCGGCTAACATTCCGGTTAAATAAAAAAACAACAGTTAGCCGTGATGATAAATAATATACATGCTATCTTATTTGAAAGTTCAAGACAGTTCAAGCAGATATACGATAAAAGCACCTTATTCGCACTTCCTTCATTGGCTTTCTCAGAATTCGCAGATTTAAAAAAATGCGAATCAATTCCTATATTCGCGGCTAAAGATTTCTTTATTCGTGGATCTATTCGGTACATACACATTGATAAAAAGGATTCCAATATGTAGGTAGGTATCCACCAGAAAATCCTAAGTAAACGCGTCGTAATAAAAAATCAAAAATCCCTTATTACAACTATGCATAGAGTATGTTGTTAAATGATATCACTACTGTAAAATTAATCGAAATGAGGTGAAACTTCGATTTAAAAATGCACACGATTTGTCCACAGACTAGAAACAATTTCCATTTCCTTGTTTATTTGCATATATAATCGATTTTATTATCAATACTAATGTTTAGACAATCAAAGTATCACCCAGAAGAAACAGCAACTTTGTTATTAAATAAAATCATTATAATTACATACCTTTTTGCTGTGATCATACGAGTTAACATCACTCATATTCTTCCACGGTATATATTTCTTCTGTATTGTTCCCACACATTCCTTACTGTAATCTTCCCTTTGATTTAACACACAAATACGTTCGTATTCTTCAAATTCTTCATCAGACGCATGTCCCCGTAGCCACTCAGTTTTCAAATCGTCACCCTTATCTATTTTTATATTTTCATTAATAACATTCAATTGATGTTTTACTGTTTCCAAATCTTTTACCTCATTGAGAGTAGCGTCAGATAATTTCGATGAACATTCATAAATGAAATACGGTGTTAGATTATTGATTATATCGAAATTATTAACAAAATAATCGTTTTTCAGTTTCAGAAAGTTCTTGTCTTTTTTACTTTCGGCAAACGTTTTTTCTATGACTCGAATTGTGTATTCGTATTTGGCTGCGTGAATCTCGTTACGTTGATACAAGTCTGCGGCTAGATATTGAGCGTGGAGTCTGGTGTTGAACATCTGTCCCATCGTGTGCGACAGCAAAGTGTCCATCACAAAATCATATTCCTCGTTAACGAATCGTTTTGTCGACAATTTGCGTTTCATTAACCAGTAAAATATCATGAACTGTGATGATATTGGGATATTGTACGAGCCAAGGAGTTTTTGTGAGTCCTCATTGAGAATAATTTTCTAAAAAAAAAAAAACCTTAAATGCCTAAAACAATCTTTTCAAGGTGGGTGGCGCATTTACGTTGTGGATGTCTATGGGCTCCAGTAACCACTTAACATCAGGTGGGCTGTGAGCTCGTCCACCCATCTAAGCAATAAATAAAAAAATCTAAATATAAGTTGCAGGAAGCGGAAGCGGATGTTGGCGTTCAAACTTTCAATTAATTTCAGTTTATAAGATTATTTCAATTCAAATCCAACATCGTCAATGCGGCTTGGAATCTCCATCATACAGTAACAAGTAGCATTTGTTCTCACGGTAGTTTGTAGTGCGCAATAGCCCTTTTAATTCCTTTTTTCATGGCACTGTGATCGAATTCACAGTCCAGCTGACGTTAAGTGATTACCGGCGACTACAGACATCACAACGTGAATGTCTCCCACCCATCTTGAGACATGAAGTCTCAGTTGCATTGTATAACTGGTTGGCGGCAGAAATAGACTTGACGGTAACCTCTAACCGCACCTACACAACACGCTCTACCATTAATAATTATGCGAATTTATAAATTTTGCGGGTATTATTTTTATTAAACGAAGTTATTCATCGTGGAAATCGCGAGCAAGTATAAATTACGTATTTCCTTTCAAAATAAATAATAGTTTAAAAAAATTAACAAAATACGCTTTTGTAGAAAATCCAACTAAAAAATAGAAAATAAATTTTAATAAATTTGAATTTAAAAGTGTAAAAAAAAAGGGCGTAACAAATAATTATTTTATTGTAAAAAAAAGCGTGGGGTGCTGCTTTAGTTGGTTTTGCTATAAAAGGGTGTTTTGTTAGTTTTCTTAAACTATTTTTTTTTTTTTAATATTAAATTGTCATCGGTCCTTAATAAGTATACCAAATCTCGAGTTAATCCGACGTTTTGAAGGGGGTCAAAATCATGTTCAAAGATTCCGTTACAGACTAACATACATACGTCTGAAGCTAATAAAAGCGTATTAAAAAAATATATCCACTCCTTGGGAATTCAACATGGACCTGCATTGCATAATAAAAGCCACATTCAGACCCTTCTCAGACTTCTTTCATATTTAACCTTTATAACTTACCTTCAAATACAAACATAAAGAAATATGCCATTCAAGATAGATTTTAACACTGGCTTGATGAGGTAATTTTCCTAATAGTTTCAAACACCAATCCATTGCGCCATCGTCGATTGTTCTCGAATCTAACAACGCAATGAACAGTGTATTCTGTAGAGCCGTCGCGATGAGCCTGTGCGTCTGAGAATTGCCGTGATATCTGACTTTATTCTTGAACACTTCATTCATTTTATTCATGAAAATGTTGATAATTATTTTTAGCGTTTCCAAGTCATTTATTTTACTTAGTGTAGACAACGCCAGGTACTGTATTTCGTAGTTGTGATGATTGCGGAAGCTGCGAACAATTTAGTTAAAAGGTTTAATAATCTTCAGGTATTTAGGAATGCAACAGGCATTATATAGAAAACCCACAAACGAGACAAGAATAAGGATGTACAATTAATCGAACTCACATCATGGATACACATCACAACGTCATCGCCACACGCCTTGAAACATGAGGTCGGATTACTCCGGACCTCCTATCCTGGCGACTGTGACGTGTGGGACAGTCCTTATATAATAAAATTGAGATTTAATTGAGACATCACAACGTGGTTACCCACTTAACACTAGATGGGCCGTGATATAGTTTAGCCAGGTAAGCATTAATAAATGAAAACATTTTAAACTGTAACACATGATTGCTTCATAGCAGCATTAAGCAGGTCAGTGCAGACTCACAATAAGTCTTGCCACTAATTTATTCCATTTTGTAATCTGAAGAAACATACCAAACAAGAGAAAACTATACACATACCTTTTATCTTTCAATTGAAATTTTCCATTATTCTTAATATAAATTTCAATATTTTCTATAGTCCTGCAACAAACTTTATTTGAGTACAAAGTAAATTAAGCACAGTTTGAAACTATTTATACAATTACTAATCACCTCTGATCCTTTTTAAGTACAGGATTATATAGTAAAATTTCACATATAACATACACTAGTTCTGATGTTAAAATTTCTTTTTTATCTAACTGCCTTGTCAGAAAATATAGTGAAATATTTCTCGCTGGTCCATATTCTATTATCTTACTGCAATAAAATACAATTATATTGTTTGATAATTTCATTAGTAAATCATCATCAGTAATAATGTTCACAAATTCTTCTATACATGGTGTGTACTGACTATTTGACTTCAATTCTTCAATTTCTTTCCATGATCTGTTAAGAAACTGCGGTATATCGAACTGAATTGTATCATCATTGAGCAATTTCTTCAAAACTTTTTTAATAATTTTCAAAATCCATTTGAGACAGCCATATCCTCCGCAGTCAATTACTTTTTCAACATACTTTACTATTGTTTTTACATTCACAATTTTCTTATTCATAATTTTGTATATTAAAATACATGATTCTTCATGGAATATATTTTTGAACTTACTTACGTTTTCAGCATTATTTATAGTATCCATTTCTCCAAATTTAACAATTTCCACTTCAGTTAAAATATTATCGACATGATTAAGTAGTACAGAATTATTTGCTAAATTTTCAGAGACCAAACAATCGATTACTGTCAGAGAGAAAGCTTTTTTAAAAATATTTGTATTTTCGTCATTCAGCAGTAAAATTGAACTTTTGAAAAGCTGCAGAAGAATTTGAGCACAGCTATTATCAGTATTGTATATCATTATAGTCTGATCTTTTAAAAGAACTTTCAATTCTTCTATGCTCAAAACCACGTCACTCATTAGAAGTTCTAATATGTAATGTAATATTACTGAATATTCTTTTGATATCATCATATTTAAAGTTTTCATAAAACTGTTCTCATATTTCAATGTCTTAGTGTGGATATTTATTAAATATATTACATCTCGAAAGCATTCTAGTTTATCACAATATTGTCTAGAGATCACTTCTCCTACATTCTTCAATTTTGAGGCTATTTCTTCAATAAACATACCCCTGTTTTTGTCATTTTGTTTTAAATATAACAAAGCAAAATCAATATTTTCATATGATTTTGTAATGAATTTAAAAAAATCATGTTCTTCATCTTTTTTTACTGACATTGTATTAACTAACAAGATAAATGGATTAGTGTTTAAACTTTGATTTTCAAATAATTCGAAATGAAACAATGGGTAGATATTACCGTAACTTTCCCAATCAATACCGTAACAGTTATTAGCTATGAAATGTGATATGTTTACATAGACCGCTTTTCTTATAGGTATATTTGTACAATGTAATTTTAATATCTCCTTGATTTTGTCACAAAAAATTCTAAAATTTACTGGATTTTGTAAATTGATCTCCCCTAAGACATCACTTAAATGATACAATGGTACTGGTGACCATTTAATATTCGGTATTACATTAATTACACTCTCCAGACAATCACTGTCTAACAAACATTTTGATATACTTTCTTTTAATAATCTGTACTCTTTGGAGTTGTGGTAAATATTTAAATCATTAAGAGCTTCTAGTAAAGTTATGGCCTCATTCCTTGAACAAAATTTCACTTTTAATCTGTTTTCAATACATCTCAATCTTACTTCAGTATTGTCATGTTTCAAGCCTATGTTGAAACAACAGTTCAGCCAATGGTTGCCAATATGCTTTAAGCTATCAAATAGTTGAATCGAGGGTAATACAATATTGCTTTGAGTTTCTTCTAGACTCTCAATAAGAATGAAATAATTTTCCCAATTTTTCTTGTAAGTTATGGCATTTTTGTGTTCCCAGAAGAATATTATAAAATTGTCATTACTAGCTCTGAAATCCATTTTTAGAAACATCAAGTTATCTATAGCCCTTTTACCAAGGTAAATTGCAATTCTTCTAATTGAAGTGTCATTTGAATTTAAACCCAATAATATCATACTCCAGAATTCACTTTTCATTGCAATGACTGATTCAAATTTTGCATTTCCTTGTGCATCAAAACTAGGTAGGTAATAATCAGACAGACAACTCATAATTTTCAGGCAAGCCTCATTGTTATTAAGTTGTAATATTGTTATGTGGTCCCATATGCGATCCAATATTCTGTAGCCTAGTATACATTCAAATAACTTAGGTACTGTACTGGTTAGAAAATAAAACTTTACTTTTTCATTATTACAGTACAAAATGTTTTCTAAAGGATTTGTTAAAAATAACAATGATATTTTTTCATTTGAACTGATTACCGCATCTAATATACTGTTTGTGATTTCTAAGTTCAGAATTATATTTTTATTATTATCATTAAATTCTGTTTCTGGCTTATCTGGCAGCGCCATGTTCGATAATATCTGTTGTAGTATATGTTCAGATTTACTCACTATAGTTGATGGATTTAATCTAAGCACAATTTTAAGTATCTTACAAATATATTTTAGGTTTTCATCATGTGCGTTCTGAATGAGCTGTACAACAAAATCACATTCTTGTTTATTTTCACATTCTGAATCTTCACGAGTGTTTATTAAATGTTTATATTGTAATAGTTGAAGTGCATTCTTCAAATGGTCGTTGCTGTGGTTAATTCTTAGCATTATAGAATTTAATCTTTTATCTATCAGCTCCTCGTCTAGATCCAATAAATCTAGAAATGATAGAATTTCATCACTGGAATCCATTGTTCTCAGCAGCCGTAATAATTGATAGTCAGGACAAAAAAGTAAAATGTAGAAAGTTGTTACTTTTTTCTAGTTCTCATACTAGTTGTCTGAACTAAGATAAAAAAAATTAAGTTGTATGTACCAATACACGGTGTTATGTATTACATTTTTAGAATCAATCTGCAATGTATTTAATTACTGATATGTGCCGGTACGTTGTGTACGGTATGTAATATTTTCATTAAAGTTTTTTACGTAAATATTAAGCCATGTTAACCATGTGAAAAATGTCAAAGTTTAATCTGTGTTTTGGCAGGTTACTGGAGTCAGCAAATAAGTACCTGTAAAACGGGGTGATTAGGAACAAATTCCAACTTGCTGAACAATTTTAAGGTAGTTGTTGATGTATATAATGCTATATCAGGATCAAAATGATTGAGTCTTGGGGTTATCTTTGTTCTCCAATTTAAAACTATACAATTAGTATTCCAGTTTAAGCAAAAAAAAGCAGAAATATGTGATATCCCTATTTACCCGGAAATTTGGGTTAATGGGGACGTCCTAGTGTCAATAGAGAAATTTGCTAGGGCTGGCACTACTTGGTTTTAATTTATTTATTTATTTAGTTGCACCAACAAAGTGATCTTCATTATAAAACATTGAAAAATTGACAAAAGTACATGGCAGATGTCACCTCAATTATAGATGCAATCGACAGTGCTTTGACAACAAAAGTAAAAAAATATATAACTAAAACTTGATTACATTTGATTACTTATGATTAATTTATATTTAGTTGGGAAATGATCCGCGACAGATTTTGTAAGTTGTGAGATAATTAGAGAAAATAACTTCTCATCTAGACGCGGACAGTGCAACATCTTAGGGTTTTATAAAAATAAAATATTGTAATGATGTAATATTGTACAAAGTGCTTGCAATATATATTAACCATGAAGCAGAGTGTTTTTAAATAGCCCCTCACCTACATAACCCAAGCCTCAAATTTAACCGTCCAACAAAGAATCCTTTTATAAATGCCAATGGCACTTTCATGTCATGTTAAATTGTAAAATTAATATAGTTAGTGAAGATTTTTTTGGTACGGTACCTAATAAAGGTACATTTTTAATGTCCATCTGCTTCATTTACCTACCAACAACCAGTTTTCTTGATCTTAACTTTGTATTATATTTTAAGGGCTATTTGCATAAAGTGCCTAGGCTCAACTCAGGAAGTATGTTGGATAATCCGGGTTTATAATAATTGTTTAATCACAACGGTTATTCTAAGAATTCAGGAAACGTACATGCTACATATTTATTTAGTCCACTGAATACAATTCAACTATTAAATTGTTCAGTTTTCTCGTTCCTATTTATTTATTTAATTTTTGTCTTTTATGACTTGCATCGTATAATGGCAACAAACACTGTTTTTTTTGTAAACGAGTTTGAGATTTGGTTTCGTTGTGGAGAAATACCTACCCGAGGTAGAACTATTTTTTTGTTTGAAGAACAATCGGTATACCTTTGACGTGTCTATAATCTAACACCGGTCACTCACATGCGCACGAATACGCAAACCCGCAAGTATAGGACGACATTTGCAAATGATTATGCAAAGTTTTCGCTACATTCGTGGTTTTCCAAGCTGTGTCGGTTTTTTAACAGACATCAAAGTGCGCGAACCGCGAACCTTCGCGTAGTCTCCCACACATTCGTTTGCCCAGTTACGCCGACGATTGCGAAGGTAACGGACGTATCGCCATTTTCATAGTTCGTGACGTCTACTGTGTAGCGTATCTTCATCAAAAGAAATCCCATAAAAACAGCATGGCTGTTAATGATGTTTGGGAAAGAATTAAAAACTCTTTTTCTCTTCAATGTTCTATTGGCGAATTAAAAAGGAGGAGAAATTCGTGAGACATTCGTAAACAAGTGTAGGAGGAAGCGCAAACGGGTTCGCAAATTGAGTATGCGAACCCATTTGCACAGCTGCTAAGTTTGCGAATGAATGTTTGACGGCCCCTCACATGCGCGCAAACATTCGTACAATGTACGAATATTTGCCCGCATGTGAGTGGCCGGCATAACGGGGTGGTGAAACGTATGTGATCAATGGATGGATTTAAAAAAAAACGCAGTAAATTTTGTATTTCGCAACAATTAGAAACAAATGCAAAAGACATTCTTTCGTTACTGAACTTTATTAAAATCTAATCATAGATTATACACTTAATATATAATCTAATGCCAATTAAAATAAATTTTGGATGGAAGCAGCAAAAGTCACAAACCAAAATAAAAATAGACATCACTATCATTATGCCGGCCACTGACATGCGCGCAAATATTCGCACATTTTACGAATGTTTGCGCGCATGTGAAGGGCCGTCAAACATTCATTCGCAAACCTAGCGGCTGTGCAAATGGGTTCGCATACTCAATTTACGAACCCGTTTGCGCTTCCTCCTACACTTGTTTACGAATGTCTCACGAATTTCTCCTCCTTTTTAATTCGTCAATAGAACATTGAAGAGAAAAAGAGTTTTTAATTCTTTCCCAAACATCATTAACAGCCATGCTGTTTTTATGGGATTTCTTTTGATGAAGATACGCTACACAGTAGACGTCACGAACTATGAAAATGGCGTATAGTATACGTTCGTTACCTTCGCAATCGTCGGCGCAACTGAGCAAGCGAATGTGTGGGAGACTACGCGAAGGTTCGCGGTTCGCGCGCTTTGATGTCTGTTAAAAAACCGACACAGCTTGGAAAACCACGAATGCAGCGAAAACTTTGCATAATCATTCGCAAATATCGTCCTACACTTGTGGGTTTGCGTATTCGTGCGCATGTGAGTGACCGGTGTTAGCGTAGTCTCCCACACATTCGTTTGCCCAGTTGCGCCGACGATTGTGAAGGTAATGGACGTATCGCCATTTTCATAGTTCGTGACGTCTACTGTGTAGCGTATCTTCATCAAAAGAAATCCCATAAAAACAGCATGGCTGTTAATGATCTCTGGGAAAGAATTCAAAACTCTTTTTCTCTTCAATGTTCTATTGACGAATTAAAAAGGAGGAGAAATTCGTGAGACATTCGTAAACAAGTGTAGGAGGAAGCGCAAACGGGTTCGCAAATTGAGTATGCGAACCTATTTGCACAGCCGCTAGGTTTGCGAATGAATGTTTGACGGCCCTTCACATGCGCGCAAACATTCGTACAATGTACGAATATTTGCGCGCATGTCAGTGGCCGGCATAGGAATGAAACGTGCTAAAAGTGTCGATTAAACTCATATCGATATTATTTTATATTAAAAAATTTAACTATTATTACTATCTGAAAGAGCTTATTGGCACTATAAAAATCCTTTATTTATTTACAAATTCGTATATTGGCCTAGTGTAGGTTAATCACCTCACAATGTTAAATAAATAGCAGTTCACGGATTTTACTTCTATTAAATCAAACAGTGTAATCTTTTTTTTATTGTAAGAAATGGATGTGAATTTTTATGACGTATGATGCTACATCGCCTGTTGAAAAAGGTTAATCATGTACCAATTTTCATATAGTGTTATGTAATAAAAAAAAATTAGCCAGCAATCAGTTTTACGTGCAGTTAAGTATAGATATCTCACATCAAAAATAAATTTAAATTAAGATTACTTTAATGGTTTCTATGCCTCTAAAATTTATTAATCAAATGAACTGTATTTTAGATGTTCAGTTTGTTTGAAAAAAAAACATTAAAATAATTTCTACTCGATAATTGAAATTAAAATCGATTGCTATTCCTATACTTATCGATGAAGTCTATCACTTTTCACTCACTATTTTTCATATTTCTTGTTGCCAAAATCCTTTATGTTCGCAAAGAAATTATTTAATAAATTATCTGAATATTTCCGTTTTCCTTTGAGTTTCAAATTTTATTTGCTTTTAATCTACATATTTAAAGCTTTTTGATATTTTTTATTTTCACCTTGAAGTGACCAGACGGACGTTGAAAAGCAGTTAAAACTATGGATGATAATAATTCCAGCGATGACGAATTTAGAGAATCTCCTGCAAGTCCCAAATCAGGTGGTAAAAAGCTTAAACTTAACGACGGAAGCTCTCAGGACAGTTTCAAGGAGACTGGTAACTACAATTAAAATTTCTGAAATTAAAAACATTCGTGACGTAAAGATTTCGTGTCCATTTTGACGTTTTTTTTCAGTTTCGAACAGCAAAGATGAAAATATTGATAGTGGAGTGTCAGCAGATAAGTCAGAGAGCACCAGCAGTGAAGGTCACAGCGCTGGAACATCAGAAGGGCCGTCTAACGAGCTGGTAAATGCAGCCCCTTCGACCAGTAATATTCATACGATACTTCTGAACATACGACGTCCAAAACGCAATAGAAATTACCGAAAAAGGAAGACGCCTGAGCGTGATACTGATAGTAATGATACTTCTCAAGATTCTGATGATCTATCCAGTGAAGACACTCCACAGCCAGCGAGACAGAATGAGAATAGTAATTCAGAAACAGAGAGCGATGATCAGCCAAGATATATGGATTTGTGTGCAACAGAATCTGATAGTTCAAATAGTGGGTAAGTGAAAATTCAAGATGTCTTCAAACAATCCAATATATATATTTTTTTATCAATTTAGAACAAAGAGTATATAAATATCTGGCTGTATTAATTTGTCTTAACTAACAGGTTTAATTAAAATAGGTTAAAACTACTTACAATTTAAGTTAACAATGAGTTTGCTGTGAACAAGCATGACGCCCATTGTAGCTTAAAGAAAAAGACCTATGGTGTTTTAGTATCAACAATTTGCTTATGCTGAAGGGCAAATCTTATTTGGTATGAATTTTTTTTAGGAAACATGTATCTAAAAAGTAGTCATGATTGAGTTCCATGGTGAAGGAAAACAGATCTAATGAGTTCAAAGTGTTGGACTTTTGTCTCATTAAATTTTAAGATAAGATAGGGGAGTAATTACTTAATAGCAGTTGGGCTATGATTTTCCACCCATTAAGTGCAAAAAGAATTTAAAAATACATTTAATACTTTAAACTTTCTTAGCTTATTGTCCGAATCTTTTTATTTACCATGTAATCACTTATAATTTTATGAATCTATAGACTATTATAATATGTAATATTGTCTAGTTCATTCCTTTAATAAAAATTGATAAATAGTTTTCAAGCTAAGTGGGTGTCCTCTAGAATAGTCTGTTGTAAGTTGTGGATTCATAAAATATGAACTTAAAAGTATGTATAGCAAATGCCTACCTGGACAAATTTATACTGTTTTTGTCATACAACATGTTATTAATATTGTAAAATATTAGAATTTAGGTACAGATATCGATGCTTGAAAGGCAAACTTGACTAAGCGACAATGCGTGAACTTTACAGTAGACTAATTTAAAGTTGAAATACTTGAAAACAAAATTTATTTTAACAAATCTAGCTGTAGTAGAATCTAGCTAGTAGCTGTAGGATTGAAATGATTTTAATAGACATAGAAATATATATTTTTTGCGGATTGAATATGGTTATTGCCTATAATTTATGTACAAAGCAGTTATTGTCGCTTAGTCAAGTTTGCCTTTCAAGCGTCGACATAATTAAATTTTCGATTGAAGTTATTCACACACTAAAACAATCTTTAGTTCACAAAACTCACCAGACAGTCACACGTTTGAAGATTCAGATGAAATGATACAACTAAACTCTGGAGACACAGACAGCGATGAAGATGTGCCATGGAGTAGATTGAATGATGATAATGATGAAAATGAAGAATCAGAAGAAAATAGACAAAAAACACCAAGTGTACTTTTAAAAGCAAAACCAGAGCACAATTATGTGATTTTGCAAGGTATTCCATGAAAAATACAATATAGTAAAAAATCTTTATTCATGCTGTATTTAGGACAAATCAATATGTCATTGTATCAGAATAAAAGCAATTTCTTGATTCACAATTAAGATTAATCATTATTGACAGCTCAGGCAAGGATTTAAACAATTTAATAATTATTTCTTGGCCATATTTAAAAGATCATTAAGTTCAAATTGATATTAAGCTCTAGCATTAATAGCTAGACTTTTAAAACCAAAGCTCGTTTCCATAGATGATTTTATATGAAAAAATTACAAAGTTCATTTTCCATNAGCAATTTCTTGATTCACAATTAAGATTAATCATTATTGACAGCTCAGGCAAGGATTTAAACAATTTAATAATTATTTCTTGGCCATATTTAAAAGATCATTAAGTTCAAATTGATATTAAGCTCTAGCATTAATAGCTAGACTTTTAAAACCAAAGCTCGTTTCCATAGATGATTTTATATGAAAAAATTACAAAGTTTATTTTCCATATGTAAACTTTCATTCAGACTTTTTAAGGCAAAAGTGCTTATCACTCTGCTCTGCAGAGGCTATCAGGCTCTGCAGAGGCTATCAGGCTCTGCAGAGGCTATCAGGCTCTGCTTCATTGGTAATTTTCAGTCAAGTCATCTTTCAAATCAAGCATCATGTCCTAATCCATTTGCAACTTGAATAACATAGTCAGTCCAAGTGTTAATTTGTGCAGATTCTCCTTCATTTCTGACATACCAAACAAGACACAGTATTTTTCACCTGGTTTCAATGTGTCGGGCTTTAGTTTATCCAATGATTCTTTTATGCTAACAATTAATTTTGATAAGTCAATATTTTGCCGGCTTCTTCTTTTTCGTCGCTTCCTCATTACTTAGGGTCGTGACCACCTTGGTCTAGTCTTTGTACCAGCTTCCTCCAATGTTGCCTGCATTCGACCTGCTTGATGGCAGACATTTTATTAAAAAGTACTGAATCCCTTTCTGTTCACTCAATCCAGCCACGAAAAAAAATTTGTAGTCATGAATACTAAAACTAGGTTGTAGTTGTTTCCTGCAAAGAATTATAACATGAATAAAAAACAGTGAATAAAGAACTTTTACTGCATCAACTTTCCTAGTTTCAATTAGTGAAGTTTTTGATTGAATGCCATTGAATTCTTTGTAATGGATTTCATTTTAGATTCACGGATTTTAGCAGGCTATTTTAATAGAGCCTTAGAGAAGCCATAGAACTTCAATACTTTCTACTTTCATTTTTAATTATATGCTGAATGTCTAAGGATTCCAGTGAAGCCTTACATGGTAGATAGTCTTAATGAGTTCTAATTAGATGAACATTACAGTTATTGAGATCTTACTGTACTTATGACATGATACTTGTATTTAAACTGATCTGAGTAATGCTAATGATGTTCTTTTTATATTCTTACAGAAATCATAAAACGCGAGATGGGAATAACATTTCCCTGCGGTAAAACGACGAAGACAGATGTGATATTTGAACAGAATTTCTATGGATCACTTCATGCTGTATACAGACTGGAGAAATTGCATCAGCTACAAAAACACAGGGGCTGTGTTAATTCGATAAATTTTCACCCCGAAGGTAAGTTTTATTTCCAAGAGCATATCTAAAATTTTAATTCGCTTAGTGAATTAGTGAGAGTAATTGTACTTATTTTTCATTAAAAGCATTACTAATCACTGAACTGACATGTTACTTAACATGTGATAAAGCTTGTAATTAACTTAATTAAATTATAAAACATAAAAGTTTTGCTAAAGACTGACCTGTTACCAAATGATTGAGGAACAAAATGCGTTTTTACAAACAACCACTGCAGGATGGATATTATTTGAGGAACCTAAAAACTAAGAACGAGGCCTGAATGATCGGCCAAAGGGGGCTAAGCCAACTATATAGCCTTGATTTTAATTTGATTCGTACTTCCATTGTGTGTTTTAATTGCTGAATGATATCAGTACTGTACGATATTTTGATACTCTGTTATAAAAAGTAATTGTTTTGTACACAGGTCGGCTTTTAGCCTCCGGTTCTGATGACACAAACGTCGTGATATGGGATTGGGCCAGGAAGAAAGTGATTCAAACTATAAAAACGGGTCACAAGTCAAATGTTTTCCAGAGCAAGTTTCTGCATTTGAATTCTAGGAGTCAGCTAAACATAGTCACGTGTGCTCGAGATGGCCAGGTGGGTAGTCAGAGAAATCTGTTCTTGTACAAAATTTATAATTGTATTTTTCTTACACTACTTTTTGTTTATTTATTGCATATATGGATAGACAAGCTCACAGCCTACCAGGTGTTAAGTGTTAAGTTAAGTCAAGCCAATAGACATCTACAATGTAGATGTCGCCACCCACCTTAAGACAGGAGTTCTAAGATCTCAGTATAGTCAGTATAGTTATAGTTATTTTTAGTAATGATTAGAGCACATAGACATCACAATGCTTGTCACCATTTACCTTGAGACATTCAAGTCCTCCTCCTTCCAATTCCTGAATGCCTGAAAACAAAAGTAACCACTGCGTTCTTCTCGCTATGACCTACGGAAACCTGGACACTGGCGTAGGGTCTGGCCCATAAGTTAAGAGTCGCACAGCGGGCGATGGAGAGAGCTATGCTCGTTATTTCTCTAAGGGACAAAATCCGGAACGAAGAAATTCGAAGGTGAACCAAAGTCGACGAAATAGCTCTCAAAGTTAGCAGGCTAAAGTGACAATGCGACGCCAGGTGGGAGAGGAAAGTCCTCGAATGGAGGCCACGGAAGGGTACAAGGAGCGTGGGGCGTCCTCCAACCAGGTGGACTGACGACTTAGTGCGCACGGCGGGAAGTCGTTGGATGCGGAAGGCGGAGGACCGCATTATGTGGAAGGCATTGGGAAAGGCCTATGTCCAGCAGTGGGCAGATAAAGGCTGATGATGATGATGATGATGATTCAAGTCTCAATGATAGTGCAAGGATTGTCCCTTTCGACTGCCGCTACCAGTGGAAATGTAATTGCTTAATGAATTAAACAGAAAATGAAATGTGAATATAGTAACTAAATATATATGAAAAGGCACAAGGAGACTTGGTTGTTATCGAGTGGGTGTCGCCAGGTCCGGCTGGTGCAGTGTCCGTCGAGCGGCGGCGGCGCGACCCGGCGGCGCCTCATGGGGCACTCCCGCGCCGCGCACAAGCTGCACGTGAGCGGCGCCGAGCCGCACCGCGTGCTGTCCGCCGGCGAGGACGGGCTCGTGCTGCACTGCGACCTGCGCCACGACAACGTCAACAGGTGACGCACCTGCAACCCTACCCTACCTTTACACAATATAGTGGATATGTCACTACTTTTACTGGTGGTAGGACCTCTTATTTACCCCATGATCTGTAAGCGGAGTAAAATGTCCCTTTGGAACAAGGTGACACTTTACAAAACTTGCATAAAGCCCGCCATGACTTACGCGAGTGTGGTGTTCGCTCACGCGGCCCGGACACACATAGACTCTCCAATCTCTATGATCCCGCTTTTGCAGGTTAGCCGTCGGAGCTCCGTGGTTCGTGAGGAACGTCGACCTACACGACGACCTGGGCCTCGAATCAATCCAAAAATACATGAAGTCAGCGTCGGAACGGTACTTCGATAAGGCTATGCGTCGTGATAATCGCCTTATCGTTGCCGCCGCTGACTACTCCCCGAATCCTGATCACGCAGGAGCCAGTCACCGTCGACGCCCTAGACACGTCCTTACGGACCTATTAGATCCAATAATCTTTGCATTAGATGCCTTCAGCCCTCACCCCTCCTGGCTGAGACTTTGCACGCCCAACTGTCCTGGTGAAACTGGAAAGGCCTCCGGGCCAGCAGTAATCTCTCAATCATAAAAACAATATAGTGGATATATCAGTATTTTTACTGGTGGTAGAACTTTTTGCGAGTCCACGCGGATAGGTACCACCGTCCTGCCTATTTCTGCCGTGAAGCAGTAATGCGTTTCGGTTTGAAGGCAGCCGCTTTAACTATACTTGAGATCTTAGAACTTATATCTTAAGGTGGGTGGCGCATTTACGTTGTAGATGTCTATGGGATCCAGTAACCATTTAACACCAGGTGGGCTGTCAGCTCGATTACTCATCTAAGCAATAAAAAAATTATTATTTTTGTTGTTGTTGTTGTTGTTGTGTAATAAATAGTGTGTGCAAGCGCGTGTTTGCGGGTAGTTTGGTTGTTGTGTACGAGTGCGTGCGCGCGCCGCAGACTGGTGTCGGTGAAGGAGTGCGGGCGCGCGGTGCCGCTGTACAGCGTGGACGCGCACCCGCTGGAGCCGCGCGTGCTGCTGCTGGCGGGCCGGGACCGCTTCGTGCGCGCCTACGACACGCGCCGCGCCGCCTCCCCCCTCGCGCTCTACTGCCCCGCCGCCTTCACCAGCCGCAACGTCAGTACCCGCCCCTCACACCTTTGCTGTCGTGATTGCGATCACATGTAACGTTCTTCCGCTGTGTTCGATCATGGGTGGCATGGACCGCATGGTACAGACTACCACCAAGTGCTTCTCTGACTAGATCTGACCAGCTGGCTGGTGCTCTGCCCACGGCGCGCTTACCCTCTATGCGACCCTCAATTATGAGCTTCTCTAATTCATGTCTGGGAGACCGCATGATGTGAAGTTAGGGTATATAATATAATCGTTTCTTTAAGGAAATTGCGACCTCATGCTTTTTTTTTGCCCCTGTAAGCAGACGAGCATACGGCTCACCTGATGGTGAGTGGTTACCGTCGCCCATGGACTTCAGCAATGCCAGGGGCAAAGCCAAGCCGCTGCCTACCGCTTAGTACTCTCCACAAGCCTCATTTGAAAAATGACATGTCATAACGCTCGGGAAACACCGCGGAGGGGAACCCATTCCATAGAAATCATGTCTCAAGATGAGCAGCATTCGTGGGGAATGAACTAAGATTTTTGAAAATTTTTTACGAAACATTAAGAACGTATTTCGCACCGAATTTATGTATAATTAATTATTAATTATTATTAAAAATGCAATACAACAATATGGAGTGCAAAGGGCCCCTGACCAAGCTGCCCAATGAAAGCTTCCTAAGGTATTGGTCAAAGCTTTTCGCTATCAAGCCGTGTAACGAAACAGCTATTGGAACAATCATGGTTGAATCAACATGCCACATGGCGGTAGTCTCTTAAGCGAAGTCTACGAGGTATGGTGACGCGCAAATCCATCTATTGCTGTAACGTCAGGCTTATTGGCTACAATAGACCTGCCTGTGACAATAGATCGGTCCCAGTAGACGGCATGGTAACCGACATAGCCCAAAGGATAGCGACGTTGAAGTGGCAGTGGGCAGAGCGTATTGCTTGTAGAACAGACGGTCGTTTGGGCCGGAAAGTTGTTGAGTGGCGACCGCGTACCGGAAGACGTAGCGTGGGTAGACCTCCCACAAGATGGACTGAAGACCTATTGAGGTTCACGGGGATTCAGGCTGGATGCAGGCAGCGCAGGACCGGTCTTTGTGGCGAGGCTTTGGAGAGGCCTATGTCCAGCAGTGGACGTCTGTGGACTGGTAGAATAGAATAGACGGCCATTTTAAAGAACCGTAGATTGGGGGGAATAGGGACTAGGAGTAGAATAGGGACAAATCTAGGTTGTCACAATGCTTTTGTGAAATTTAAATTATAGTTTAATTTAGTCATCAGAGTTTTGTAACTTATTAAAGATATTGAAAAGTTAATTACCTAAACAATTAAGTTAATTACCTATACAACTAAACAGTGCCAGCCATATCTAAAAAGTATTGTCTCCGTATACGTGACCGGATTCACGCCAAAAGCCAAAGTGGATCATCAGGTCAAGTTAGTTTTTTAATTTTTTGTGTATATTTTTCCATGAACTATCTATAATAATGCATCGTATATGAAAATTTAAACCTCCGGAAACATTTTAATCTCAATTTGTAAGAAATTGGTAAGAAAAACCTTTGAAAATTTGTCAATTTGTGTGACATGAAAACAGAGCGACGTTAAATCGCAGCGCTAAGTACGCGTTCTGTTTGACGAAGCCTTTAGCAAAATGCGGACAGTCGACAACAAAATGACTGTACTATGACGTCTCCACATGCAGGGCAGCGACTCGAAGCGCGCGAAGCTGTCGATGATGCACCTGACGTGCGCGGTGTATAACCACGACGGCAGCGAGATCCTGGGCACCTACAACGACGACGATGTCTACCTCTTTGATGCCAAAAACGACGTATACGACAAGTCAGTTTATATTGTTACTAGCGACCCGCCCTCGCTTCGCTTCGGACACATTAAAACACACATGAAACAAAAAAAAAAATAAAAAAAAAATAAAAAAAAGTAGCCTATGTTCATCAGGGACAATGTCGGCTTCTAATGGAAAAAGAATTTTTCAAATCGGTCCAGTAGTTTCGGAGCCTATTCGAAACAAACAAACAAACAAATCTTTCCTCTTTATAATATTAGTATAGACTAGCTGTACCCGTCCGCTTCACTGGGCACTTAAAATTAACATTATTATTTCTCACCCCCACAAAGATTCTCATCATTAACGCCCCCGCAACTGGTGTAAGGAGTCCAAAATATTAGCCTATCCATTAAGTACATGTATTTTCGAAGTCGTCGTGGCCTAAAGGATAAGACGTCCGTCGTATCGAGCGATGCACCGGTTTTCGAATCCCGCAAGCGGGTACCAATTTTTCTAATGAAATACGTACTTAACAAATGTTCGCGATTGACTTCCACAGTAAAGGAATAACATCGTGTAATAAAAATCAAACCCGCAAAATTATAATTTGCGTAATTACTGGTGGTAGGACCTCTTGTGAGTCCGCACGGGTAGGTACCACCATCCCGCCTATTTCTGCCGTGAAGCAGTAGTGCGTTTCGGTTTGAAGGGTGGGGGAGCCGTTGTAACTATACTTGAGACCTTAGAACTTATATTTCAAGGTGGGTGGCGCAAACGTCTATGGGCTCCAGTAACCACTTAACGGCAGGTGGGCTGTGAGCTCGTCCACCACCCACCTAGGCAATATAAAAAAAGGCCTACATCCAGCAGTGGAGAGATACAGGCTGATGATGATAACGTTGCAGGGACAGCACGAGCGCGTCGGAGGGCTACTCGAAGCGCTACAGCGGGCACCGCAACAGCGCCACGTACAAGGGCGTGTCGTTCTTCGGGCCCGGCAGCGAGTACGTGGTGTCGGGCTCGGACTGCGCGCACATCTACGTGTGGGACAAGAGCTCCGAGGCCATCGTGCAGTGGCTGCACGGCGACGCCAACGGAGTGGTCAGTGACTCTCCCACTAGTCCCCACTCTAATTCATTCAAATTATAACTTTAAACATTATTATGATTTTATTGTCAAAGACACATACTTCTGTAATTACATACTTCGCCAAGACTACACTTTAGACAAATATTAGTAAAGAAAAACAATATTTAATCTTTTTTTTTGGGATTTTATGACCTGGTAACTAAGACCTTTAAGTCAAGTCTTATTTTTATGATAAATCATAATAAGGAGTGAAATGAAATGAAATTGATTAATTTGAGACATCAATAAACTGAGATGAAATTAAATGAAATGAGATGAGATGATATGGGATGAAATATAATCTCAGTAAAATGGTAGTCGTTTACTGAGATTTTTTCAGTGGACTTTTTGGAGGATCCCGAGAAGTTACGTCCAGCGGCTTTGTTTCATTTTCCCACATTTGTGCACTTTCACAGATATTAAACAGTTAATAAACCACTGTTATTACACATTTAAACCTGAAGAAAAACTAAATAGACAAAATAAAACAAATCACACAACTTCACTCCTCGCGTTCCCTCCAAAAGTCCCATATTTAATCTATTCTCAATTTGACCACAGACTATAAGCAATAAGAAAAGTTTGACAATGAACAAATAGGATGCATTTGTGTGTGTGTTAAACACATGGTAGTGTGTGTAATGTTTTTTTTTTTGTAATGTAACAATTGAATGTATTTATTATGCAAACTTAAAAAAAATAATTAAAATTCCGCACTCTATATTCTCTGTAAGTGTGGGAAATTTCATAGTCCTCTGTCCGCCCAATTTTCACAAAAAGGGGTACAAAGTTTTTGCTTTACGTATTTATAGATATCATCGGAACAGTCCAGAGAAGAACCAGTGAGACGAACTCAACTTGCTAATCTTTTTACAAAGTACCGTTACGAATTGTTCGTTCGTATATTAAAAATGTACATTCAAAATATTATAAAAACAAATTCAGAGCAAAAATAAAATGAACGGTTCGCTGTAAACACTTTGTTCCGTCATTGTGCTGTGCAGTAATAATCACTTTGAGAAGGCGGCACGACATGAGAGCCCTCTTGTCGTGGCCGCTGGAAACTACATACCCGATCCTGTAGTCCGAATGGTAAACAGTCGACGTCGCCCAAAGCACGTCATTACGGATCCTCTTGATCCACTAACGGTGCTTTTAGGCACCAGAAGCACCGGTCACCGTCCTCGTCGAACCCGTCGCTCGCGACGAAGGGCTCGACGAGCGAAACCCATAGACACAGCCCACTGAGTTTCTCGCCGGATCTTCTCAGTGGGTCGATATTCGTTTCAGCTATTCGGCGATAGATGGCGTTACTCTTACCAGCGTACCAATACAATACATCTGAGAACGACATGCTATTTTTATTCCAAAAAATAGTCGCGTTATATTGTGTTGAAATTGAAAATTCAAACTGAGCGATATCGCGATATATTATGACGAACCAGCGACTACGAGTGTGTGCCTGGCTTGTACGGGAGCGAGCCCACTGAGTTTCTCGCCGGATCTACTCAGTGGATCGCGTTTCCGATCCGGTGGTAAATTCTGCGAAGCACGGCTCTTGCTAGGGTTCGTGTTAGCAACAACGTCAGGTTTGAGCCCCGTGAGCTCACCTACACGTTAAGGTGAAGCCGAAATAGCCTCTTAAGGCTATCAGCATAGGTAGAAGAAAAAAAACGGGAGCGTTTGTTGTTCGCCGCGAACTTCGTCTGGTTAGAGCCTCGTGAGCTCACCTGTGAATCTAGTATATCCCGTCGAGGGTAATAGAAAAAAAAAGCCGCAAATACTCGGCTCTGGCACGAAAGAAAGGTTGGGGTCCGCAAACTCGGCATTGTCCTATTGACCCGAGAACTTGCATCTCTGAAACTGTTTATTGTTTTCGACGGATTCCACGAATGGAATACTTAGGAAGGTTCTCAAAGAAGTAACAAAAGAAGGGAACGTTTTCGTCTTGCTTTTGTTTGTTTATTTGTTTCGAAATCTTTGAAAGTCGCTCACAACGACTTTGAGACTTCCGATTAACTTGAATATTTGCACACGCATCAAGAACCGATATGAGATTACAATCATTTTTGTATATTCGCCTCAACATTTTAACGAAGACATAAAAAAAGATGAAATTAATTGTTAGCGTGGTGTGCTACATAAGCGTGTTTTTTTTTATAAAATATAAATCCTGCAACACCAGCTCGTAACGGAATTTCGTATTAACGTTTCCAGGTGAACTGCATAGAGCCTCATCCCCGTTTCCCCGTGCTGGCGACCAGCGGCCTCGACAAGGACGTCAAGATATGGGCCCCCTACGCTCGCGCAGACCCCAAGTACGAAGGACTAGAAAAGGTGCACATATTCGCATTTACTCAAACATTACTTTTTTTATTGCCCTTGTAGGCAAACAAGCATACGAGCATACGGCCCACCTGATGTTAAGTGGTTACAATCGCCATGGACTTCAGCAATGCCAGGAGCAGAGCCAAGCCGCTGCCTACCGTTAAGCACTCTCCACAAGCCTCGTTTGAAGAAGGATATGTCATATACATAGTGATCTAGAAATATTTATTTATTACACTTCATGTAAAATTTAGATTGGCGGACTTAATCCCTAAGGCATTCGCTACCAGTCAACCAAAGGTAGTGCAGAGAAAATTGTAGTAGGTGCAATGAAATTTATATTGAATTACAAAAACCAATAAGCGTAAATATATATACACAAATACATACATATAATAGTTTATAAAGTATTCAAAGCAATATATTAACAAATTCACTTAACAAATAACTACAACATAACAAATTCATGACCGAATTTTCAGAACAGTCTCCACGACGAAAGAGTTACGAACAAAACTAGAACTATGTGTGGGACAACGAATTAACATGTTACTGTGCATATTATATATATATTTAAACGATTAAGGTCTATGTACTCTTAAACAGGTATAAACACTTGACTGGGTTGTGATGAAGCTTGGTACAGCTGGAATCTAGTCGTTAAATAAATTTTAATAGTGTTTCGATATTACTGGTAGGAAGGACGTCTTGTGAGCCCGCACGGGTACGCAACACCACCCTGCCTATCTCTGCCCGAAACGGTAATACTACGCGATTTAAAACTCCGCCTTTTAGCCGTAGTACCTTAGAACTGAGATTTACAACTCATTTTTCATGCTGATTGACGGTAGTTCCCTTTTTTCTGTGAGCTACAGTAACTCAACACCCGGTGGGCCGTGAAGTTCGTTGACCCCTCTTAAATTCTTATTTATTTTGTTTTATTTAATATTCCAGGTTGTGCGTGAAAATAGCGAGTCCCGCCGAAGGAGTCCGCTGTTCAACGACTTCCTGCCGACCGTGTACAACGCGTGGCGCAGCGAGAACCAGATGTACGCGGACGGCGACATGTCCTCCCCGTACGGGGGGAACATCGAGTTCGACGGAAACGTCTGCACCGCCTTCTAGGGACCTCCCCCCTGTGCGTGCTGTCTGTGGACCTGTGCCCGGGAAGCTCTGCTGAAAACCACGCATCATGATCACTTCGGGATGGTTTGTGGGCGAAACGAAAACTTAAGTTTATTGGATGCTGCGCCGACATGATGGCGTATATGAACCCGTCTAGAGACACGGCTTTTGTATGTAATACTATAATTTGAATATACGAGAAAACGATTCCTAACTTATTGCCTCCACGTTAATCAGCTGACGCGCAGGGTCGATGACCCCGTACACGTGCGATGCGGTTCAGTGCCTACGCCACAGAATATTATTAACTTGCAAGTATTTTTGCGTAGGTTAGCAAAATAATTTAATTGTGTTTATAGTTAAAATGGTTTTTAATGGAATAAAGGATAGTTGTAGTCTGTGCTAGACTCTTATAAATACAGAGGATAAGCTATTTGGCTTTCATTGAACCTTCACATTTATAGGGTAGTCTGTGATAGACAATCACTAATAATTTGATAGAGGGCAGAGTACGGATAGAAGTTTAGCTTTCCTAAATACTGTTAGATTATTTAGTTAATTGCTTTTATGTATATTTTATTAGATATCGGAAGTTTCGGGATCACTTGAATAGAAACGGCTAGAACTGTCCTTAGAGTATCTCTGCTAGATCTAATCAGGGATCATGAGAGTCGTAGGAGAACATCACCGACATAGACCCCAGGGTAGGGAGTTAAAGTGGCCGTGTGGGAGGATCAGTTGGTCCCTGAAACCAAACAGTCTTGAGCGCCCCCCGGGGCACGCAAGTCTGTCGTTGTGGCCCTTTTAGGAGATCTATGTCCAGCAGTGAACATGTGTGGGCTGATGATAAAGCAGATGTTCAGCGGAATGTAGATAAAACTTTAAAACATTCAGGAAATTTGATTTGATTAAACACTCTTTAGGGACATTTTTTTTTTTTCAAAGTGAGTTGTTTTTCTCTTCCCTCCTACTACTCTATAGGTTTCCTCAGAATACTATGTGCTGTAAGAGAACGTGACCGGTAGATCGGAAGTACCTCTGTCCACGGAAACAGAATAGTCAATGCAAAGAATGGTTTCGTTTTTAAAATGCATCACAAACAACATTCTCTACTGTTGATTTACCACGACGTGAACATAAATTTGCATTGAAGTAGCGGTTCTCGGAGTGCCTCTGCCTTGTATATGTAGCAGCGAAAGTGTTCACGAGTGCTCACGGTGACCAACAATATCGCCTGTTCTGCTGTCAGTCTGTCTGTCTATTTGGTTGAAGCGACATTTTTTGTAACTTAACAGGAGAGCCATTTATGGTAAAGAATTTGGAAAAAAAGTCTTAACAAAAAACTTGTTCAGCTATAGGAATGGAGTAAACTTAGTTGAAGTTCAATTAAATATTATATCGAATTATTGATGCTAACACCAAATAAAACGCAGCTTTAATTACAAAGATAAATGTCACTTAAACCAAATTGCCTTTCACCGGTCGATATGACACATAAATTAAAACATATTATATGTACCCCGATTTAATTTTATTATTAATATAGGAAACACCATCTAGATATTGCAACATCACATCTTTAAGCACGTTTATATCCGAGGTGTATATATACATATTAATTTTAATTTATTAAAGTAAAATAGAATAATTTATATTTAAAGATTAGATTTAATGTAACATAGCTTCTTTTTTTTCATGGTTAGTTGAAATTGATTTTAATTTTTCTCGTAGAAGTCGTTGCGATAAATAAATTACTCTACGTAAATACGTCACACGTTTATTTTCGTTTTTTTTGTGTTTTATTTGACTTAAACAATTAAATCTCGAATTAAGAAATACTTAAACACATACCGTGTGTTAGTCTGTGGGAAATTTTTATGCGGCATTGAAATTTCTGTATTTGCATATCCTTCTCATATCTTTTTCATCAAAATACCGGTATTTATAATTTTAAATACTAATTTATTCGTGCAACCGTGATTGAATTGTAATTACATCAACATGTATTAATATAATTTTGGGTTTTCATGTTAATCGTCTGAGGGAATGTGTGTGTCAATGTTGAAACGCATATGAAAATTAATTTTTACACCTTGCCGGACGTTGTCCGCGACGGAGCTAAAAGCTGTGAATTACTTACTGTCAGTGGCTAAATACATCAATATGTAAAAGCCAAAAAGAAGAAAAAAAAAACAGCTGCCAATGTTTAGTCTGGGTGAGTCGGAGAAGTCATTGACCTCGCAGACGCCAGCGCCGCGCGCGTTCGACTGTTTAGGAAACCTTGCTTTTATTATTCACATACCGTCGTGTTTAGTAATTCCCCAAATTTTAGGGATTTAATGGATTTTCTTATATCATTTAGTGTCCCATAAATTCACAGTACTGTTTTGTTTGTAAATTTTATTTTTTCACTTATTATGTGTGATGAGTCCACGAGTAGGTAGGTACCCCTGGCGAAAAAATAACTTGCTCTCTTTCTCAGATGGAGGCTGGAACCTTTAAACTTGCAAGTTGCCAAAATAATTAACGTTCCATAATGGAATGCATAAGCGAAACTTATAATCAAATTTTCGTAGTTTTCAACAGTCATGTACATAATTATGTAGATGACATCTATCGTTCGTGTTGATGTAGTTTCGGCAATCTGTAGTATAATATTAAATGCTTTGTTTATAGAACCATTGTACAATATATCGCATCTTTAGAATCATAGAGACTCATTTCGAAATTTTTGGATTTCGACTTTAATTTTTTTTTGCCTTTGCAGACAGATTAGCGTACGTCCACCTGGTGGTAAGCGGTTACCGTGGCTCATGGACGTCGGCAATGCCAGGCGCAGAGCCAAGCCGCTCTTCAATTAAAAAATGAACCTAGAAGGACCCTTTTCAGGGTCTCTTAATAAATCAAATGACCAAAAGTAGCTTATAAAGGGACAAACTCATCCATTTGTCTCTTTCACTCCGTCCCCTTCCTCTACACACGCCCTTTCGGTTTGAAAACTTTATTCGATGTTTTCCAAAAAAAACATATTTTTTCAGTTGATTCTCTATAATTCTAAATATATATGTACATTATTAACGACGATTGAATCTTGTGTGTGTGTTTCCTGCCTTAGCTGGCAAACGAGTAGGTATATTGTTCCCATTATGGTGAATGATAACCATTCCAATCCAATTCCTTGGCAATTGGCATCAGCAAAGCCGGGGCAAGCTGCTGATTACCGCAAGTCACTAAACCAACGTTTAATGAACGAAGAGCTTATTTTACCCTGATTTTTGTTATATGTACTAAGTCTTTCACGTATGTTTTTTTTTTAAATGTATTTTGGTCGAATGTTTAAATTGTCAATACGCGTGACCATTTATGATTCGTAAACGTAATGCGTCCAAACCAATACGATTAATATTTATCGACGTAATCCCAATAATATTGGCGGTTTTTTCCCCCTGAAAATATTCACCTGAAAATGAATAAGAATTGGTTGGAATCCAGTGTTGACAAAAGCAAGCAGTGAGGTCGAACTCTGGCTCACCTATGCACATTAGTATTCCATAAAGCATATTCAAACAGTAAATCGTGATAATTGCTTTTTTCCAAATAAATGCAACAACTTTAAAATTGACTTGCTTGATTCTGGCGGAGTAGCATAGACGTCTCGAGCGTCGAGCGATAGTGCACGGAAGACGATTAGTGGGTTGGCCCTTACCATCTTCGGCTACCGAAGTTACAGATGTCTCGCGCGCCCCTAGGCACCGGGACCTCGTAGGGAGTTCGGCCTTCAGCTCGAAGATAAAAACTACCATCAACATACGAGGTGGAGCGCCATTCGTTTCTAATTGGCGTACCTATTTCATATGTTTAATACTAAAAGCCAAAAGCACGCTGCCATCATGTGCGAAGTTCTGTACTTTATCATAGACAATAAAATGTTACCCTTAGTTCAATTGATTTATTAGTTATTTCCAAAATACTCAATGAATTAACAAAATTAGTAGAATATATATTAAAAAAAAACTTAAAAAGTGTCTATTGTTTTCATAAGCATATCATAAATGTAGCAATAGCTGACTTTTTCAATTGGTTCAACCCAAATGCCTGTGATATATAAGTTCATTTGAAATTTAAAATATTTAAATAAATGCTGTGTAAAGGTTTTGATGTTGTTATTTTTCATAATTTCGTTTTAGTTGTTATTTGTAGTAAACGAATATGTACCTACTAAGCTAATGAGCCCAGGTTGTCAGCCGGGTAGTGGTCCCGGTAACTTCACAGCATGAAGGTTTCATTACTAAGATAAGTACAAACCTTTTGATGTTTTTCAAGTTACCAAAATGCTATATTTATACATTTTCATACATCACACACATTTTTGTACTAGAGACTACTAATCCATATTATGGGAACACATCTTGAAATAACAATTAATTTTATTAGTCTGTGGTTACATGAAGTTATGTGATCCTAAACTAAAACAATAAATTTATATTATAAACTAACAATACGACAATAATATGATACAGTTGTAGTAGATGAAAAAGGCGTCATCTTGTCATTTACTTATTAATGGTTAAAATCTCCATTGTTAAGATTCAGGCAGGTACGTTAACATTGTCCTTCTAAAGTTATTTTGTTTAAAATTTCCTAGCAACGGAATCCTGCATTAAATTCTTGAACATATTGTTTGGGCACTTCGATACTTTCGGAAATTAAAAGTTTTTACCTTGCTTTCAGAACCACCTACACATATTCCGCCTTTTGTATGTACATTTAAATACCATTTTTAACCATTAATATTGATTTCACCCCAAATCGATATTTTTACAACTGTGAAAACTAAAAACTTAAATATAGTGAAGAATGTAAATGTTATAAGAGTGAATGTTTCAGTCGTATTATGTAAATAAAGATGATTAATGAAAATTTTAATGGTATTATTTTACATGTAGATAAATTGTTCTTAAAGGCGTTACAATAATTACAAAATCTGATATTACTTTGAAATGTATTAAGTTTGGTATTTTTTTTTGTTAGATATCTTGGTTAAAAGTGATACGAAATTTGACATAAAATGTATTAATTAGCAAGGTCAAAAATAGCGTACAACGATTCTGGAGAAATAATATTAATAAAATATGGGAACAAGAGAGGAATAAATTCGTAACATTTACATATGCTGTTATTTTAGTAGAAATGCCTTATCTTAAATGGAATAATTATATTGGCTCAATTTGCTTTATAATAATGCCATGTGCACACAATGAGACTTAAACTTCCCGCCATTTTTATAAACTGTGATTAGCGCCACATAGTGACGATTTTTGTAAATGATACAGTCGACGCATGTAGTTTTTACACTGTATTTTGAGAAAACGAATTGCATCTAAATACAAAAGACATTCTTAGTTTATCAGACAAATTTCAACACAAGATGAGCAGGTTTTTTTGTTGACAAATTGTGTATTAATCATATAGGAATACACATCATTTCTCCACATGCTTGTCATAGTTTTATAATGGCTGCCGGTTTCCACCAATGAGAAGCGAAGCGTATGTTGAGGCTCGCGCCATCTTCGTTTCAAGCTATCACGCTCGTGGCTCGTTTTAGTTTTCTGTCAGTTTGCCAGTCGCGCGTCGGACACGAACTGTTAAACAACTTCCTAGTTTGACTTTGTAATTGTACATCAAAATCAGAACAATCATGAGCACCAATGAAAATAACAGTGAAGTGGCCGTTGACAAGGTCGGCGATGAGAATAAAGGTGACGCCAAAAGTGAACTAAAAGGAGCGAAAAGGGCAGCAGAGGTGAGTGCACATGTCAAACATAATATGTATTCATTTAATCACTCGCCATTTTATCGAACGATCTACTAATATCTTCTAAACACGGTTTTGCATACTCCAGATCTTTATAATAAGAAAATCATTCCAAAATCCGCCTAAATACAGCTTACGGTAACGTTCTCTAACCGGCATATTTTCGGTCACTAAGACCAAAGAATGCGCTGCCGTGAGTGAGGTAATCGATGCGTTCAATAATGATACAAACTTTTTCAACTGGGCTTCGGTTTTAATGCATTAAGACCTTGTGTTTCTTCACTTTGTTTACTCGTTTTTGGTATTATACTATAGGCATGACCTTGGCGGAAAAAACATGGCGCGGGAACGTACGCTGTCCTCATTGAGTGGTAATTTAAAAATAAAAGAAATGTTTCATATTCACTCGGCCAACCTATCTACGGTGTGAAATGTTGATTTCAGGGCCTCTTGTTATAGCTATTTTAGACTTGCTCACTGCTATTCTATGGAGTTAGCGTGATGCTAGTTTCATAGGTAACATGGCCGGTATTCTAGTCTTCAAGTAGCATGTGTATATATTCAGACGCGCCAAGATTCGATGTTTGTTATCACAGTTTCAACTGTCGTTCAGCATTTGTTGCATGCAATCAAAGTACGTGGCGTTTGTTTACCGCGTTTTTGCCATTTTGGTACACAAATGAAATTTCCGCATTTAACTAAAAAAAGTCAATGACCCGGTAATATTTGGACTAAATAAATAGATGTTAGTTACTAATTAATATGTGTTCTTTTGTCTATCTGCTGTTATGATTTACGTCGTTTACTGTATGAGAGTAATTTACGCTTCGTCTATGAAGTGTTTTGTCAGTTAAACATGTCTTGTAGGTTATGTTTTATTTAGATCGTTTCGGTAGTCTAGCATGGCTTCACAAGCGGTTAATGTGTGCGCGGTAACCGTTGATCGTGTCACGGCAAAAAGGCCCGTATGACGCCGGCCCCGTGTTGGCCTAGCTCTTCCCCTCCACACTTCGTATGACCCACGCTTCTTTATCGTCTCGAATCTTTGTCACCTGCTTTTATTAGCTGCATTGGCGTTTTTCCCGCAAACTTTCAATGCAAGTGTGTATTTAATACAAAATGAACATTAATGTAATAATTATCTGTTTGCGATTTGTTTTAATTAAATTACAATTCCATAATACGTGCAAATATAGTAAAACATTCAAAGTTTTAATGTATAAAATGATACTAAGTACCTGGTACTGTTTACTGTTATAGGAAAAAACGACAGAGGCGAAAAAGGCGCGAAAGGAAGAAAACGGAGGAGGTGACGAAGACGACGAACACAGTGATGATGAAGACGTCGACGGGCTTTTTGAGGGAGAGGAGGATGACGACGATGAAGAAGTAGTGGAAGGTGAAGAAGATGATGAGGAGTTAGGAGAAGAAGAGGATGAAGATATCGAAGGCGAAGGTTAGCAATGACACCAAAATAATTGAAATGGGCAGATTAAAATCAAATTTAGGAAAACCGCTAACGTTTTTGTCTGGTTTAGTTTCAGGTGAAGAAGAATTAATTGCAGAGGAGGAAGAAGACGATGCGTAATAACGCTTCGTGCCTTTTATGGACAATGTCACAGTGAAGTGTTAGTGCTCGTGACGCCTTGGACTGACGCGGCCCCGTCTCGCCCCAACTGTCTTAAAAGTCAAATGAGAGCCCCAAAGCAATAGAAGTTCACTACAGTTGGGAACACGCGGGGCCGACTCTGCTCCCACCTAAAACGGGTGCAATTCTAATTTAAATGACAAATGTAATTAATTAAGTGAAATTGAATACTGATTTCCAATTTTTTTACGATGTTTTAAGTTGGTACCGAAGCTGTACTTTAATTTCCTGAACTTGCTGTAATTAGAATATGTGTAATCAACGTGACTTAGTTAATGCTGTTGAAATTTGTCATGTAATGTACAAATATTTCTATTTCCCTTTTCTTTAGGCAAACTTTATTCTTAGTAATAAAGCTCTGTTTTAGGTTTACCTGTTGAATGGTAAAGTTGTGATATTTTTCTATGATGCCGGATATTTCACAAGTAGCATTTACTACTCGTGCGCGCCAAATTTAATGGCGCCAAAAGTAGAAGACCAAAATGTTTATTAGTTATAGTTACGTTTTCAATTTTTTAACAATTTTTCACATTTAAAGCAGTTTTAAAATTTTTGGCGGCGTAAAAGTTTTGAAAATTGAACAAAAATATGTATTAAGAAATGTAAATAATAATTTGGTTTATTGATCAATCAACATGTTTAGTTTCTTATTAACAGGCAGAGTACAAAATGAAATATGAAATGTAATTAAGTCAACCAAAGCTGTACTGAATAATAAGATACGAGGGCATTTGACACTGGAAATACTGACGATTAATATGTATCCACTATAGATTGAAATGACTTAAATAAAATTGTGGAATGTGGATACACGTATGTGCAGAGGCAGACCTGTCTGCCTGAATAAATCTGATATGAATGAATTTATTTGAGTGTATTATTTATCTTGTATAAGTAAAGTGCATGGAAACTCGAAGGATGCGTACGTCATTTTGGACTGGCAAGCACGAGTAGTGTGTACCTGTGTAGACAAAATTTTAAAATACTGAAAGTCAAAGCTCAATTTTTACAATGGACAAAGTTTTACCTATTGTTAGAGTAAATAAATCTTGTTATCATAACTTACAATAGATCTAGGCTATAACATTTGTAGTATAATCCCGTGGCTGTGTTTCCAGTAGGCATCACGTCTTACGATGTAAAAGCGTCGTGAAAGCAAAACTTCAGAATTTGCAAATTGCTTTCTCAGAGCCATCTTACCTACTGTTGAGGGTGTGGGGGACACTAAACTATTTCAGGGTTTAAAAACAAACATTCGTCGTAATATTTTGACACTTTTAGATGTGATGCGGTGTGTCGTACCTTCTGGTGAATATGCGTCTAAAACCACAAACGAGATACGGTAACTTGTGTAATAGAAAATCATCACAATTTTGTCATTGTAGATCTTATCTTGCAGTGTTAGTGGGCTCAATATGAGTAAGTGCATCGGCAATCGCGTCTCGATGCCGCCGGAAATTCTTTTAATTTTTTTTACAGTATATTATAGCTTAAAACTATTTTGTATTCCAGTGATTTCAAGGTGTGGAACAAGAGATTCCTAGGTTTAATGTTAAATGTGTAAGATAGGTAGGCACTGTCACATGTTTACGAAAGGACGATGAAGTGAGGAACGAAGCCGGTCGGTTGCGTGCCCCCGCCTAACGCGTGGCCTCGTTCGATTTGACGCCGTCGCCCGGCGTGGCTCCGCCGCTGTCTATCGAGCTCGCCGCTACCACGTTAATGCAACGCGATCATTCGTTCGGATATTTGTCTGTGTATTTATACATTGCTGCTATGAGTCGGACAAATAATCGGCGATGCATACATACGAGGCCGTAGACAACGTCCAATTATTTAGCGCCTAGGATTGTGGCGTCCGATTTTGATACTAAAGCCATTATTTCACTTCGTTGGTAGTCTTTTGTGGGGCGTCGTTTTTACAAAGATTGATTTAACTTTAAGAAATAGACCCCTGACTAATTAAATATGTTCGATTAGCGTTAGCAAATTTTTGAGTCATGACATTTTCATCTAGAGGAAAATTATTGGAGTTTTAATCTAGGCGCAATAATGGTTACAATAAGTAAAAATAAACTTGTTTCTGAGCAAGAACAATCTGCACTTATTTTATTTGTGGTATGAACGAGCTGTCGTGTTTCTACGACTATTGTGAATATCTTGTACGACTTATTTATTTGTTATGTGAAACAATATTATTCATTTTACAGTGGACGAAATGTAAATACAACCGATTAAGTAAAATTTTATTTTGTTTTCGAGTTTGTTTATTTACCCGAACCAAAATCAACAAAGCAATACCTAATACAAGTATCTACCTAGATACCTACTTTGATTAGTGAGGACTTTTAAAAATAAACCTCGCGTAATTGACTAGGCCGCGACCACACGAGTCCGAAATATGGAAATAACATAGGTAATAGCTTGAGTATGTCGAAACAATTGAATCATGCTTGCAGGGTTACAAAACTACCTAAAATTATTCCTTCATTTATACCAAGATACACATACTGCATAGTTGTATATGCCCACTAATATGAACTACCGACGTAGGTAAATGATATTTTTTCATATTTGAATTACCAAGATGGACGAATTTGACAAGAGGCAGAAACTTTCATCCTTGTTTCGATTATTTGTACTACTAAACGAGTTACACTAAGTTTCCATTCGCAGTAAATGGCGTCGAAATTATAGTACCGTATCCATGCACCCGTAGGTGGTAGGTTGTTAAAAACGAAATGGATTCTTTGGATTTTCGTAAATTTCACTTTTTTTAATTACCTACCGTAGATTAGAAATTCAAAGTATAAATGCTTAGCATTGTAGTCTTTAAGTGAAAATGCATACGCATAAAGTAAGAAATAAAGGCTAAGTAGGAAGCTATAGGTAATATTAGAATTCCTGTCGGCGTCTGAATTTTGAGAGACTAGGGGAAAACATTCTCATAAATTGATTATCGTGATTGAGATTCTTAAATCAGAGTTCCTTGAAGAGGTATCGGTATTATGTTCGCCACCAATGCAATACCTACATACTTTCCGTGACTGCTTCTTCAATTGCTGAACTTAGCCCGTATGGCCACTGGAAGTGTTGTAGTCGTGTTCAGCATAATTCGATGCGGCTGAAGCTCCGAACGCTTTTGAAGCTATTTATTGCAGACTACTTTGCTGACTGCGGTTAAGATAATCATTACATTATCCAAATCGAAGTGAAGTCATTGTCGAAGAATTCGACACATCGATATTATATAGAATTTGTCAGTCTATTGAATTCAATATTCCCGTTTGGTGGCGTCTGTCTGTATTGCAGTGGCCGAATCTAATAGCAACTACGAAATATTGGGCTCCGTTAAAAAAACATTTGTATGATTAAATTGGAACTACAATTACTATATCTCGCAATTCAGGGAGGGTTATTAAAAAAAAAAACTGGCATATTCAAACGAACGTAAGATAGCGAATACTTCGCGCGTTAGTACCTGCTTTCAATAGTTACAATAAATTATAGTGAGCGATAGTCCCTAATTTTATTAATAGACGCAAATTCAAAATACGCCACTCTCGGCCTATATCTCGAAAACTACTGACGTCCGGAAGAAAAGTGTACTTACCAAACTGCCGAATCTTAATATTTCTTTGATATTTTTGTTGTAGTTTTATCATATGAGTCATAGCTTTATAAGTACTGAGTAATAACCAGTATATTCGAAGATAGTGTAAGGTTAACTAAAACTAAAATTAGCGATGTCAGAGTTGCAGCTTCTTTAGAATGTGTGAACAAAAAGTAATTTTTGATATCAAAGTTGGAATTCCGTTATTTTTATGGGAAAGTGGCTTTCAGAAAGTTAAAAATCATACATATAAATTTATACATGATAACGTGTTTCGTAACTAGCAAAAATGGCTTCCCGTCGCTTTAGATAACGGTAACAAAAAACGTGATATGTGAATGTGAACGCTACCTTCTAAACAGACGCCGGACACTAGCGGCACCTAGAATAGTGCATGCGAAATTTGTGGACGCTTCCAACGATGGCGTATTAACGCTGAAACTGTCGTATAGATGGCGCGGCAAACCTTACGTTCAAAATTTGAAATATTATCGAGCGCCGTACTTTTGTTTTAAACTTTTAAGATGTTACTACTTAACAGACTAATGTTATTTGTTCGAAAACAAAAATATTTAATCGAGTATTAACATAGCTTGACTGGAGAGCGTAAAGTATAGCTTAACTAAAGTAAATTTTATAGATATTTTTACGTTACATTATCCTCACATTATTTAGTAGGTACCTACATAATAATATTATAATAACAAAGTGGATCGTTTTGTAAGTTGAAGCCTAGTGCAGATAATAAAACGTGAAAATCGTAACGAACATTTCTTAAATGTACCGACGTAAGTGACTTGTTTTAGTTACCACATTCTTGCCCAGAATCAGGAAAAACAGTGTGCTCAGTGCGAGTTTTTTAACGTTCTCGATAACGTAAAAGTTAACTCAAATTTGTATGCAGTTGGAACAACGACCTAGCGACAAACGTAGGCAAACGTTCTAACCCTATAAAAATTTGAGTTAACTTTTGCGTTATCGAGACCGTTAAAAAACTCGCACTAAGTACACCAGAGAACCTGCCGCGCATGCCGGTTTGCAGGGTGGGACAGCCGTGATATTGTCATATTTTGACCTCATGGCTGGAGAAGGGGGACTGCGTTCACACTGTGATGCCGATGGGCTCTGGTAACCATTTAACACCAAGTGGGTCGAGAGATCGTTCAACCATCAATGCAATAATCATATTAGTAAAACAGTTGCATCAGATTAATAATAGCTACCCCGCCCTGCTCGCGGTAGAAATAGCTAAATCGGTTTAATGAACCATTGCGGGCTCTTTAACCAATTCCTACCTACTGTAGATATAAATTAGGATATTCCCATAGACAGAGTCCACTGAGTTTCTCGCCGGATCTTCTCAGTGGGTCGCGTTTCCGATTCGGTGGTAGATTCTGCGAAGCACTGCTCTTGCTATGGCCAGTGTTAGCAGCACTCCCGGTTTGAGCCCCGTGAGCTCATCTACACGTCAAGAAGAAGCTGAAATAGCCTCTCAAAGCTATCAGCAATGGTAGGAAAAAAAAGGGTATTATTAAAAGGCATTACGGAACAAAAGGTAGTGTATTTACTACCACTGACTCGTGGAAAAATCGCGATTGAATGTTGCACCAGAAGGTAGATGCTTCGTATTTTTTGATCAACAGCTTGAAAGATTTTCGATCAGTTAATATCTATCTAGATTTTTCAATAATACTTAATAGGCACATAAACCATGTTAAAAGTATCCAGATACCTAAAACAGATCTACATAGGATCAAGTGTACCGCGCGTCATTTGTCATGTTTTCTACTTGCACTCAATAATTTTGCATCAATTTACTACGGCGAACTTTTCGATTTATCATTGGCGTATCATTCATTGACTTCAAAGTCTAAGACCCCAGAAAATTTTGTGGTATTGGTGGTATGGCTGTTGCAAGTATCCAATATGTAATAATATCACGGGTTACGGTTAATTTTGAAACCATATTGAAATTTGTTTTGTATAGTAAAATTAAATACGAAAACCAAAATCAGTTGTTCTCAAGACACGTAAATATTGTTGCAAATTAATATCTAATATAAGACATTTACTTATAAGTCATTTGATATTGTTGATACCCGAGCATCGTCAGATATGATAGATAAAGAATTATTAAACAAAGAATCCGGAATCTTGGTGTTGTTGTTTTATTTTATCGGATATCAAAATAAGGTCCGTACCTGAAATCCGGTGATTCATTGCGACTGAATACATCCAGCTCTGTCCGTTCGACGCAGAGTCGGAATCGTCAGAAAATAATAAATATTAAAACAGTTCACTGTGAACTGTGCTGTAGGTAACACGTTAAATGCGCTATAATCATTTCGTCCTCGCAACGCCCGCTTACTTTCCTTATTAGCGGCTGTTGAACTTTGTATTTCGTATTGTGCGAATTGTAAAACCCGGCAAAACTGTTGGTGATGTTGTCTTTCAGTGTTGTTGTTTCCTTTGCCTATTGGTGAAAGTAGTTTTGGCGGTAAAATGTGAAATTAGCGGGACGTTATTACATACATACTTGTTTTCTGAAGTTTTGGATAAATAACAAGAACAAAGCTTCGAAGGAAGGTAAGATGGCGAAGAATTAAAACTTAAACGGTATTTAATTCTTTTATCCACGTGTAAAATAAAATGTATATACATACTTATTAGATTTCTGTCTAAAATAAATAAATCGTCAACAGTTTTTTTGTGAATGCGTTTGTTTGTAGTTTGTGTTCTATTATGTGTCAAAGCCAACATGAATGAGGTTAGGCTTTTTTCTATATAAACTTTTATAAAATCACAAATTCGTAGTATCTACTGAAATGAAAGTTAGAAATTAATTAAATTCAATCCGGTGGGTAGTTGTTAATTAATAGAAAACATCACAATGGTTTTATTTATATATGTATTAGAGTGCGTGCATGCGATAGAGGTCGTCAGATGTTCAATTCATTACTTTATCTAATTGCTGCCTGCGTTACAACAATTAATTACGATGTAACTATACCATTGAATATTCTACAATATAAGGTCTAAACAAGAAAAACCGGTACTTGGATACCTTTGTCAGTTCTTGTTTTGTCGAAATCGATTATAGAATAAAGAAAAAAAATCAGCTAGTTTTAAAGTCCGTCGGAAATCGCGACAAACCTCATATCACACATTAGTTTGCTACACACGTGATATCTATACCTACATTAAATATAATTGGAGTGTCTGTTTGTAATATTGAAATAACCGCTTTTTACTACATGCATATGAATATATATACGGTACATACACCAAAATAACATTTTTTACAATTTTTGTCTGTCTGTCTGGCTGTCTGTCTGTTTGTTCCGGCTAATCTCTGGAACGGCTGGACCGATTTTGACGGGACTTTCACTGACAGGTAGCTGATGATATAAGGAGTAACTTAGGCTACTTTTTTTTAGACTAGCTTCGCCCCGCGGCGTAGCGTCGCAGGATGAGTCCTAGTTCCTCTCGGATCGTTTGGAGCCTCTGGGTCTGCGGAGGGACTTCGGTTCCCTCTGTATTTTGTACCGTATGTTCCATGGGGAGTGCTCTGAGGAATTGTTCGAGATGATACCAACATCTCGTTTTTACCATCGCACCGCCCGCCACCGGAGTAGAGTTCATCCATATTACCTGGAGCCACTGCGGTCATCCACAGTGCGTTTCCAGAGATCTTTTTTGCCACGTACCATCCGGCTATGGAATGAGCTCCCCTCCACGGTGTTTCCCGAGCGCTATGACATGTCCTTCTTCAAACGAGGCTTATGGAGAGTATTAAGCGGTAGGCAGCGGCTTGGCTCTGCCCCTGGCATTGCTGAAGTCCATGGGCGACGGTAANTATGGAATGAGCTCCCCTCCACGGTGTTTCCCGAGCGCTATGACATGTCCTTCTTCAAACGAGGCTTATGGAGAGTATTAAGCGGTAGGCAGCGGCTTGGCTCTGCCCCTGGCATTGCTGAAGTCCATGGGCGACGGTAACCACTCACCATCAGGTGGGCCGTATGCCCGTCTGCCTACAAAGGCAATAAAAAAAAAAAATAGTTGAGACTATCAATAATAAAATTTAAAGTTTCCGAAGCGAAGCGAGGGCGGGTCGCTAGTAGTTAAATAATAACGTTTGATTTACGTACGTAACGTAACGTATCGTTTATTTGGCTTAATAATTTGTTGTTTGTTTGACTGAAACAACACTACTATGTTCTTAAGCTTTAAGGCACTCGATAACCATTACGTATTTTTAGTACTGATATTTTTACATCGAGACCCAGTAATGGCTAGATATATTATATGCAATATACTATTTTTCATAAAAAAAAAATTTTTTTTTTTGCGAAAAAAATATAATTTCCATAAAAAAATTAATTGATAAGTTAAGTTTTGTTGATAAAACTTGTTAATTACTAACTAAAACAATGAAAATCGATCTTGAAACAAAGGAGTCTATTGTATAATAAATATAAGAAATAATTAAAAAAATACGGTATATTAAACGATATAATATAATACTGAGTAAATAAATATATATAATGAAGAAATATAAATAAATGAGAAAATAGTATGGACGATTTGGATTTCCCTGTTTATATGCTGAAGGTATCCTTAATAAAACTATTGTTACTAATCCATAAACGTTGAATATACTATTATTAGTAATAATAATAAATTTACTTATGATTCGACCAAAAGTAAAGAATGTTTGCATGTGAATATTTTTATTTTTATAGCTATAATTGTGGACATATTCCTTATAGAACCTGCCAACCGCCAAAATTCTAGACGACCTAATTGACGTTGAGATTGTTGTGGATTGGTTGAGTTAGTTGAGGTTTCATTGGGTTGCATAGGTACTTTTGTAAGAGTGAATTGTTGTGGAGCACAAAAACATCATAAATCGGATGCCGTGGAAACTAACGTAAATGGTTGTACCTATTTTTTCCCTTCCTATTCTAGTAGCTTCGAGGGGCTATACTAGATTCACAGAACGAGTAGGTGAGCTCACGGGGCTCAAACCTGACGACGTTGCTAACACTAGCCCTAGCAGGAGCAATGCTTCGCAGAATCTACTATATGTTAGTGGATCGGGAGGATCCGAAATGACGAAAATCAACCAGCGAGCGTGGTTTCTATAGGTTTTAATAAACTATTTATAGGTGGTATAGCCATTCGCTTGTGAGCCCCCACCGGTAGGCCAAAACCCTGCGTATTCCTGCCGTGAAGCAGTAATGTGTTTCGGTTTGAAGGGTGGGGCAGCCGTTTTACTGTAAAATTGAGACTCAAAACTTATTATAATAATTATAAATTTTAAATTATTTTAAATTTGCTAAAGTATTATTTGCGTAATTACCGGTGGTAGGACATCTTGTGACTCCGCGCGGGTAGGTACCACCACCCCGCCTGTTTCTGAAGTGAAGCAATAATGTGTTTCGGTTTGAAGGGTGGGGCAGTCGTTGTAACTACGAGGGCTGCACTAAAAGTATCGGGAATGGAATATTTCCACTGTTCCTGTCATATTAAAATCTTTTTAATTGAAAACTCCTTGGTTTTAAAAATCGAATACCATTTATTTATTTAAAAAAAGATTCTCGGTCTTGTCACGAGGTTTTGTCAAACTTGTTTAGTCGTTGAGAAAATGGAATTGACTCGAGAAAATTCAAGAGCGATGATTTATTATGACTTTCGAAGTGGTTTAACACAAAAACAGTGTGTTGACCGGATGATTTCTGCATTTGGTGATGAAGCCCCATCCAAAACCACAATTTATCGCTGGTTTGCTGAGTTTCAACGTGGACGTGTCAAGCTCAGTGATGATCCCCGCCAAGGTCGTCCAAAAACTGCAGTCACCCAGGAAAACGTTGATGCTGTGCGTAAGCTGATTGAGGAAGATCGACATGTGACATACCGCGAAATTCAGGCAACTTTAGACATTGGCATGAGTCAAATACAAATAATCTTGCATGAACAATTAGGTGTAAAAAAGTTGTTTTCCCGATGGATACCGCATTCGCTCTGTGAAGAGCAAAAAGCAGCTCGCGTTACTTGGTGCGTCAGAACGCTCGAAAGATTCCACGCAGGATCCTCAAATGCTGTATACAATATTGTATCAGGTGACGAATCCTGGATATACGCGTACGAACCCGAAACAAAAAACCAGTCACGAGTTTGGGTGTTCGAAAATGAGTTAAAGCCAACAAAAATTGTTCGTTCACGGAGTGTTGCAAAAAAAATGGTGGCCACGCTTGTCTCCAAAACCGGCCATGTTACGACTATTCCTCTTGAGGGTCCAAAGAACGGTTAATGCAGAATGGTATGCTAGCATTTGTTTGCCACAGGTCGTTTCTGAACTCTGTAAAGAGAACTGCAACCGCCGCATCATCTTCCATCACGACCATGCGAGTTCTCACACCGCGCACAGAACAAAAGAGTTTTTAGAGCAAGAAAACATAGAATGATTAGACCATCCGCCGTACAGCCCCGACCTAAGCCCTAATGATTTCTATACTTTCCCTAAAATAAAGAATAAATTGCGTGGACAGAGATTTTCATCACCTGAAGAAGCTGTGGACGCCTACAAAACGGCCATTTTGGAGACCCCAACTTCCGAATGGAATGGTTGCTTCAATGATTAGTTCCATCGTATGGAAAAATGTGTCAAATTTCGCTTAGAATACTTCGAAAATCAATAAATACATTTTTAAATAGTAATGTTGTGTCACTTCGTTAATTCCCGAAATTTTTAGTGCCGCCTATGTATACTGAGACCTGAGAACTCATATCTCAAGGTGCGTGGCGGCATTTACGTTGTAGATGTCTATGGGTTCCGGTAACCGCTTAACACCAGGTAAGCCGTGAGACCCATGTAACTAAAAAAATATGCGGCTAGTTCATCTGATTAATAGTACAGTTTATTTAAAAATATACAATTCTTATCTTCCCTAGGTTAAATCGGTCATAGTATTTCTAAACACGAATATGTGAATAATAATAGGCTTGTTTTCATTGTTCATTGTTTTTTATCTGAATTTATCTAACAAATAGTATTACTGCGAATAGTAAATGTTGATCGTTGAGAGAGATATGTTAGTATTTTTCTTTTATCTATTATGTTTATTTAATTTAATTTACTTATGATGTTTTGGATAGAGATAGTATTTTCTACGGAATCTCGCATTTAAGGGCCGTTTTCCAATTACAGCACAAGAGCGCATTATGCGGCATAATACTCAACTAAGCTTCAGCATAATTCGGCATTGTGCATCACTGAGTCGCATTATGCTCTAATTGGAAAACGACCATTAATTAATAGTTAATTGTCTTCTGCTGTGCTGTAATTGGAATACGCTCTTGTGCTGTAATTGGAAGACGGCCAAGTAAATCACTTCCCAATTTTTGACGTTTCGAATGCTTATAACTTTATAGTTTTGTAACGAATACGATGTCAAGCCGTAATTTTAATCTTAGTTCGCATATTTTGTCATGCCCCACTGAGACTCTCAACCGTATGTTACCCAATCATACTCACCTTGCGTTCTGCATATTGTTTCTTCTCACCACATCACGAAATCAACTTA